GCGATTTCCTCGGACAACCTGGGAGGCTCGGCCCGAGCCTGCACACACCCGCAGGCTGACAGCAGCGCACGCCAAAGGACAGGACTCCTAGCAGAGGAACTCTTAACAGTCTGCACATGTAGGTCTGGCACCTTTATTTCTTACTGTGGCCTAAAAAAAATAAAGGAGAAACCTCTCTGAAGTAGACTTTAATAATGAAATCAGTTTTTATACTCTTCTGGTTTGCAGTTTTGTGATGAAACTGAACTTTCTCTAGGATATTTTATTTATTTTAATATTGTTGCAAACATTTATTAAGAAAATGATGTATTTTCAAAGTGATTATGTACTATAAAGAAAAATATATTTGTACAAAAAGTTTTATATTTGGTTTGCATTCTTTTATTTTTTGCAACCGGTCTTTGATGTCACATTACACTGTCAAGAACAAGGGTTACAAGAACTCCGAGTTAGGCCGGGCCCTGCCCCATGCTGTCTTTGTGCACTAGTGGTACAGAACTACCTCTGTTTTTATTTTTATTTTCTTTAACTGGAAAAAATAAACACAATCGGAGCCACCCCCAGGGCCTTTCCCTGTGGGAGCCCACCCAGAGCTGCTGGGGTCGGCTGGGTGCCAGGGGCTGCAGCTGGGCCCTGGCCCCACTCCTCAGCAGCCCTGCCCAGGCCCTGCCCGGCCTGTGTGGTGCTCTGGGGCCCTGGAAGGAAATGGTGTCCCCTGAGCTTCTGGAGAGGGTCACGGTGGAAGGAAATGGTGTCCCCTGAGCACTTGGAGAGGGTCACAGCACTGCCAGCCCCACGTGTTGCGTTTCCTCTTCACCATTAAGACCCAACACAGCTACTGCGGGTGTTGACAAAACTCCATCCCCAGGGCTGGAAATCAGGGCTGAACTCTGATTTAACCAGATCTACCATGATTTGCTCCCTTTATGAACCACTCAGCTCCTATGGAACTATTCTTTTTTGATTATTTTTTTTTTCCATGCCCTTGTCCCACTGCCACTTTAGCTTTCATGGCCAAACAAAGCCAACAGCGTGCTGAGGCAGCATGGCTTTTGCCACCCAGGCTCCGTCCCTGCTCCCCACTTCCCATTTACCCTCTCGCTGGGCATCACCAGCTCCCAGCAGCAGCCCCCAGGGTCACACAGGTCTCTTCTAGGGTTAGGGAGAAAGGCAAATACAGCAGAGGGGGCACACGTGGATGCTGCTGATACATGTCATAGACGATGCTTTGAGTGAGTGAAATAAACCACCAGCTGCCTGCCCCCAGCCCCTTAGGGTGCTGCAACACATCCCAGACACCCAGCTGCCGGCCCCTCTGCCATCAGGTCCTGGCTACCACCACCGCACCCCACTTCCCAAAGCTCCCTGACAAGATGCTGCAGAAGTTGTTCTCTCCCTGCCCTCCAAAGGAGGTCCAAAAATTCTGCTCCAGCCACCATGCTCAGGCTGGGGCAGGAGGTAGCTTAGTGCCAGCCTCCCTAGGAGCTGCACGCACTGTTCATGGTGTAAAATAGAGCACAGTAGAAGGACAGAAAGGAGAATATAACCCAACATAGTGGAAGGAAAGAATGAACAACAATGACCTTCATAAGCACAGGCTGAATGTTATTTAAGAGGATTTTTCTTCTAGTATGTGCTTTACTCCATATACATTTAATAAAACAAACACCCCTCCCAAAGCACTTTGTAACCAACAGCACACACCTAAACTATCAAAGGGGTGTGTGTCTGCGCACATGTGTAATAAATACCAAGGAGCGTGCTGACTCTAGTACTACAGAACTTCTTTTACAGCCTGCTATGAAGAAGCCAAAAAAGATTAAAAGAGTGAAATTACCCCGCGAAAGATCTGTAGCCCTCCTTATGCACAGAGGAGAAGGGAAAAGGGCAGCCAAACTGCTCGCTCAGCACCAAGAACCTCTTAGGACAGCAAGGGCCACCCAAAGTTAGCCTAAACAAACTCAGATGTGCCCATCGACGCGTCTTCATAAATCTTACATACAAAATAACTACACAAAGCAGTTTGATCATCGTCATGAGAAGAAATTGCTCGCTGGGCTCAAAGTAGTCTGCTGCTCCAAAAACCAGTTCTGCTTTCACAGTTGCTTAAGTGGTGCCTTACCAGGTTTATAATTTTATGCATGAAATATCCTATTTCCAGAATCTCTCTGTAAGCTCCACCTCTCCTATTCGCACAAACCTTGCATCCCTCTGCCTGTCCCACCAGCATCAGAGCTGCCCCATTCCCACCTTCCTGGGCTTTGTGGGACCACACTGCACTCCTTTGGCTCCCTGAAATGCGGCAGCTCTGGGAACCTTGGGAACCACTTCTGATTAATTCTGAATTGGTGCTTAATGCTAGAGGTCAGTTCAGTACTTTAAAATTTGTTGCATTTTATTTACTTACTACGTCTAGAAAATAATCTTGAAATATTTTTCTCCTTTTTCTGTTACAAGCTTGGAGTTTTAGCTCTACCACAACTCGGCTATGATTTAGCATTGTTTGGCACTAGGGAGAAAAAAAAAGCCATGTAGGACTGTGGGTACAGTTATTCATTAATGGACAGTTAACTGCTGCCTAAAAATCTTGCAAAGCTAGCAACATGCAATACATTAACACATTTCCTTTATAAATCATCATATTCCTCACCAAACAATTTCCTGTTCTTAGGATAAACAATACGACTTCTAATTTTATTCACTAGGATTCACTTAAATCTTGAAACACAATCCTTGTAAATGCAACTTGAGGTCTTCAAGAGATGCCTTAACTTTCTTGCCTCACTTTCTCTTCTTTCACAACACATTCTTTCTCATTGTGATCGGTTTTATTTATATTTATTTATTTATTTCATCTCCCTAAACCTCTCTAACACATTCTATAAAAATGAATGCCAGTTTACCTCTGCAATCACCACCGCTGTCTCTGTGACCAACTTGTGGGCTGGGGGCAACACATCCCTGTGCAGCAGGGCAAGGAGCGTGCCCCAGCAGGAGCCGTGGGCTGCTTGTGCTCAGCTTTCTTCTAAACCTGATGAGCAGCACATGGAACTGGGGACGGCAACCCCGTTCCTTTTGAGCTGGTATTAGCTACACCTGGACTGCTGCTGTGCTGAGAAAGTAATCCCTTTACGCCCGGCTTTCTTATGTCTCTCCTAGCTATAATTTGAACATCACCTACATCACTTTAGCCCATTTTTAACCCAAGAAGTGGCCACTTATCCCTTCTCCCGATTGGCTCCATCCACAGGCATCTTCCACCAGCTATTCTGCTTCTCCTGTTTTACTGGAAAGCTGCAGAGTCTTGATGTTTTTGCAAATCACTTGGCCTATGTTATCAGAAGAAACAAGCCTCAGAAATTTAGGCCCTTTAATTTTTCTCTTTTTGATGAATGCAGATGCCTTTGTTGAATGATGGGACAGGTTCTTCCATTTTGGAGCTCATGCTCAGTAAATAACTGATGCAAATATTATCTGATTATCTTCTAAGCAACATATTCCATATTCTTTGTTAAGAAATAAAGTCACAGGAGATATGCTGAAAGCTTTTGTTTTCAGGGCTGATGAAGTGGAGAGTTGGAAAGTTCAGGACTCACCATGGTCACTGGTGGATGAGAACAGAGCCACGTAGGAGTGTAGTGTGGTCAGGGGCTAGAGAAGCCCACCCAATGGCCTGTAGAGCAGATGGAACCTTAGAAACTTCCCTGAGTTCTGTTCTCCATCTAGGGGATATCCCCACCTACCTCACCTCATGTAAAGATGGGGAAAAGGGTAACAGATGGAAGTGGAGTGTAGCATGGAGTAGTGTGGTTCACCACAGGTAGCATGCTTAGAAGGACCTCTATGCCTAAGACGCAAGAAGGCATGGAGATGAAAGATTTTGCCTTTTATGAACCCCAAATAAGAGTTGTTATTACAAGCGACGTATGAGATGTGCTGTTTGCAGCATCACAGGAAGAAACTGAAGAGACATTGAAGCCTGTAACTCATGAACAGAGCCTTGCCTTGCGTCTGCAGCACCTATCCCAATAATAAAGCACTGGAGAGGCCAGACTCACATCCAGACTATTTCATGGTTATGTGAGGGCAGGAACTGATACGGCCTAATGAGAGCTTAGCAGTTTGGAGAGAAGACTGAATTAGCAGATCTGCAAAATACCATGTGATTAGAGACGTATGAAAATCACAGACTGCAGTGAACTGACAGACAAACAGAATGATAGCAGGGAGAAGTCAACCAGGTAAAAGATGCAGATGGAGAGGGATTAGGACAGCAGGCTGGAAAGAAAGGATCATGAGAGGATTTATAGGCAATGCTAAATTTAGCAACAGAGACTTCCAAACAATGAGCAGATGATCAAAGCTACCCAGTCTTCCACAGATTTTCATTCAAAGTACAGCACAGAAGACTTTTGACTCTCACAGACAATGGACAGTCTGAAAACATATTTAAAACCAGGCTTTAGGACACTGTGCCTAAGATGGTCTCACGCAGAAACACACTGCTAACTTTTCATCTAAATGGGGCTTGCCATTTTAACGTGTATCTTTAAGGTAGAACAAATCTAGCTCTGTTTTCTTTCTTTTTTTTTTTTTCCTTATAGATCTTAAAAATATATACATATACCACTATTAGAAATCTTGATATTGCAGGTTGTGTGGTAACTACAGCACATAAAGGATGCTAACTTCTGAGAGCAGCTTCTCTGACCTACAGCCCTTCACAGCTGACTCATTCTACTCTAAAATCAACTGTAGAAGCAGCATCCCATTTTTCAGTACCAAAATTAATACCAAAAAACAGCCTCTACAGCAATTACCCTTATTCAGTTGTATATAACTAGTACTATTGCACAAAGTATTGAAGTGCTAATAAAACAGTGGTTACTGAAAATCATAATGCTTTCTAGCCATACCATAAGGGAAACGATTACAGAAATAAACTTCTAATATAGTGTATCTATAGAGGTAACACAAACATACAAACTAAGAGACAAAGATAGACACTATGCAGTACAAAAATTTTATTGACATGAGTTTGGGATGACTGTTTTACATATAAAGGTGAACTGGTAGGAAACAGTTTTGTCATTTTTTCCTCTTTCAGATTTATCTTGAGAAAAAAGCTACTGTGTAAATTATAGGCGTGACCATGTCCATAGCTCTCAAGACCATCTCCTAGTAACTCAACAGAAGGCAACTAAGTCTGACCTCAAGATAACTCTACACGTTCCTCTACATATCTAATGAGGTATCTAGACAGCGAGTGTTGCCACGTTATAACAATGCACAAGTAAATAACTGTACTACCATAAGGAGAGACTGGGGAAATATTCCCTTCATCGAGACTCTGTCCTGGGAAAATGTTCTGCCTCTGTAGTGGGGAAAAATGAAAAAGACTTCATTTTAACTGCAACTCAAGTATCATTTCACAGCAATTACATCTTAAATCCACAATAGAAATTGATAATTACATAATAACTCATGTTATCACTACTCCATTCTCTTTTGTAATACTGTAGTTAAGCTTGTGCTCAAATTCCTTTTCAGTAAAATTTGTTTCCATAAAACACTATTATTTCTTGTGTACTTTAAAAAACACTAATGAAGCATATAATTTTTTGTTTTTACAGTATACAAGAAAAACTAAGTTAATAAATGACCACATTTTCTTCAATTTATCAAAGAATAAGAGTCTGAGAAAAATAACTTTTATTGCATTTTAATTTCTCAATCTCTTTCCTTTTTTGAAAGATAAAAGTTGTAACACAAATTCATAACATTTAAGATGAAGAGAAGCTTGGGAGAAACAGAATTGCAATTCAGCAGGCAGATGATGGGGAAATCAAAGTATTTAATATGGCTTGTAGCTGAAAGTAACTGATCTGCACTTCTGATCATTTTAGTTATTGCCACATTCCATTAATTTTTCATTAACTGAAGATAAAAACATGTCTTTAAAATGCATGTACAATAGCTTTAAGCCAGTACTGTACATATTGTGCAACTCATCTGAATGTAATTTAACACGTGAACTTAATAGAATATATTTATGTACAGTATATACACAAACAGAATCTTGTGGTAATACCCCTGAATATTATCATTTAAACAAGAGTCATTTTCATAACAGGAAAAGAAATCTATGAAGGTGGCAAAACTGCCAGTTTTTGACATTTAAAACAATATAATTTCCAGCTGATTTACATACAAACAAAACTGTGGTCCTGTACAAACTTTACATTACAGGGAAACAGTTTATTTTAAAAAAGTATTTACAAATTTGAGTACTTGGTTCTTTGCAATAGAGATTATGTGAACACAGAAAATTGTATGGTAGGCAGGTTTATTTATTAGATTTTTCTATTTGTTCTTTTTTGTGCAAATTCCAAATCTCTCTTTTTGTGTTGTTATCTGCCTCTATTTGCCTTGTATTACTGCTGCTGCTTTTTTTAGTATTCTGAGAAGGCTGGGTGATTTTACTTCTAGGTACAGGAAGAAAAGATTTAACTCTTGAACCACCCAGCTCTGTCTTTGCTTTACTGTTGCTGCTTTCTACAGTTCGACTGCTGCTGAGAGGACGGGTTCCATCCTGTGAATAAAAGAAAGCATGTTTTGTATAAATAATTATTATACTTGACCTGAAAAACAGCCATTCAACCCTGTGCCCTTACAAAACCTTTGCTATTTGCAATCCTTTGCAGTTTAATATGACGGTGTGTTACTACTTGGTGAACTATGGCTTTTTTTTTCCTTCTGTGATTGAAAGGAAATCTCATGAGCATATTAAAATACCAAAAGAAGAAAAGTCAATGAGGTTTTTGCATTGGCATTCAAAAATCTTAAATTTAATTCTCAAATATCTCAATTTTCAAAGTAACATTTTTTTTTTCTTTCATCATAGAAGAGAAATGGCAGCTGCAGCCACAGCTAAAAGGGAAAAACGGGCATTTAGTTATGCCTTACATTGTTAGAAGGATTTTTAAAAGTAAACCAAATTCACTATGAAAAAATTATAGTGGGAATGATCAGGTCAGCTGACTTGCCAAATTATCTAAGCATTGTTACTACATAAAGGTCCGATTTAGACTGTCTGAAATTAACGTGTTTAGAGAAACAGTCAAAAGCAGTATACCTAAACATGGATCTGCAATGTTAAAATTGTTTCCATTCAGTGAAGTCTGTTCTCTGGATTTCAAGTAAAATTACAAACAATATTTTTAACATTTTGAATATTTGAATATGAAAAAAGATGATGGTCAGGGTGGTAAGTCATCTCATCTAACTTCATTTTTTTTTAATGCTTAGGTGCACAAGTTAAACTATTTTCAGGGGTACTTCACTGTACTGACAGAGAATAGGGAGTGTACCTCCAAAATACAATTCACCACAGTCAGACAGTGTCTGGGTTGATCTCCAGAGGAACCCAAGTCTCTGAATGCCTATTAAGAGAACACGGACAACAGACTCTGTGCTGGCTAAGGTTAATTGAGCTGTATGGTCACAAATACTCTCAATGTTCAAAAACAATAAAGAAAAGGAAATTATCATCCAAAGAATGAAAACTGAGGTGGGAATAGTATATCTTTACACTTAGTAGGGTTGTTTAACCCTTAAACAATTATTTTTAATTTCTGTAAAAAAAAAAAAAAAAAGAACAGATAGTGGATCTGATATATATTCCAGTAGTATTGAATGTACCTTCCCACTCTGAAGCTACTCTTAAGGTAGTGAAGTTTGTTCACATTTAGACTCTCTTTTCACAGAGCCACCAACCTTATAACAACGTGTTGCTTTTGCATCTCATAAATAATATGCCAAGACAACTGTAGAGCAATAGATAGCTAGGCAGAGAAATAAAACTTTTAAACAAGAAAATCATACTTTTCAAAAACTCTGATTAGATACCTTCTCAAAATCTCACCCACTGAGAGCTCTGACACCAGAGTGACTCAATTCTACTGAGATAAAAACACTTAGGAAAATATTGGTTTGAAATCTTACATATTTTGGTAATCACTGCAAAAGTGGGTACAAAAATAAACCATGAGCCAGTAATTTTACATCAAGAATTTAAAGAAGTTTTCAGCTTTTGCAAACTTATTAAATAGATTTACTTAGTTAACAAAAAAAAAAAAAAAAAAAAAAGAAAGAAAAAAGAAACCAGAGCTTTTATTTCTCTCAAAATCTGATACAAATAACTTACAATGTTGAAGGAATGTTAACAATACTTGGCCTAGGGAGAGGGCTTCATGTAAACATGAAAAACGTGTAGCAAATACATTCATTGTTTAATAAATCTTCGTTTCCATTAAGACACATGGAAGAAACTTGGCATGGTGTGTCCAGCGAGTTTCCTAAGAATCACGACAGTTTATTCTCATAATAAACAGGGCACTGGAACACTCATTCTTTGTATCCAATCAGGAACTCAGGTTTTAAAGACACCTAAACTTTAGACACTTTCAGTACTACTACAAAACTCTTCACCTACCTTTTGTTTCGTTGTTTTACTTGGGTTAGTACCACTTGCTGAAAATACAGGATTGTTCTGAGAGTTGTTGAACATCAGTAGTGCATCCTTAGAATCTGCAATCTAAAAATGATAAGAAATTATGAATTCTTTATTATTCTCACAAGAAATTATGTTTCTGTTTGCCAAATTTTGGAATCTTGACTTGATTTTCATGTAGTTGCATAATGAGAGTGTATAGTAGCAACGCATAAATATCCAATGAACAAATAAAATAACTTTCCTTTTACTCTTGACAGAATTTAAAGGGGAGGGAGGGAAGGAGAAAGAGAGAGGGAGAAAGAGAGAAAGAGAGAGAGAGAGAGAGAGAGAGAGAGAGAGAGAGAGAGAGTTAACATTGACCATTGTCAGAGAACACTGAGCATCTTTTTCAGAGCAATACTAGATAGTGAAGCTTAAGGGTAGTTTCCTGTTACATTTTATCAAGCTTCAGGGATGTCACAGAAAGAAATGATCCTGTTCTCTTCCTCCTGCCATATTTCTTTCCTGCTATATTCCATCAAAATTTGTGACCATGAAGTAACAGATACAATCTGATCAACCTTCTGACCTTGCTGAGAACTAGGTATTTTATCCTGGGGCATGGTGACCCAATTCACTCTGCAACTGCAAAAGTACTCAATCCCATCATAACAGAGGCAGCAGGAACACGTAGTGAAAAGGCAAATTAGAAAGTTGATGTGCTTATTTTGATGGCAGCCTGAAATTACATCACACAAAGCAAGCACACAACAGCACCCTTACTTCCGTAAGCCTCTACCAGGCAGTTAGGGAATTAACAGAAATTGCTACCATGGATGGTTCCACCCATGATGAGGAAACCGAACAAAAGACAGTGACATCTATCTCCTTCCTCATCTAGCCCACATTTCCTTGAATTGTCAACAACCAATTACATTTTAAATGTTATTAAACACAACTTTAAGTTGGTTACCATTTCTTTAAGCACATCCCATTCTTTCAAGGGCAGATACCGTAAATCCCTGTTAGCTGACTTAGTGATTAACTGACCAGCTTGGAGAATGTGACTCATCCAAGTATTGCGAATACTTTTTTTTTTATTAAAAAAAAATAAAATCAATCAAAACAAGCTACAGCCTACCAACTCCCGCCCAAAACCAACCAACCAAACCAAAACAAAAATCACATAATGAAGAATTTAATTAAATGCGTTGAAAAATCTTCCCAAACACAGCATTTCTTAATAAAAATGTGTTTGTCTTCTAAGGATAAACAGAATACTTAATAAAGCAAAACGAATGAGACTATTGTTCAAGGCGATCCTAGAGGATATAATGGATGGCCTAACTAGACAACAGCCTAGGACTGCAGAAGCTTGCTTGCTCTCTGTGTTTCCAAAGACACGGATCAGCTACTCCAGTCTGAACATAGCCTGCTGTTGCAGACATCTACCTCAGCTCTGCCAGGAAGAAAACAAAGAAAATAGAAAAATAGCCATAGCTACAGGGAGATCTGGATGCTTTTGCTACGGAAGGAAAAGTGAGAAAGATCCACATCTCTACCTTCTGCTCAACAGACCTCCCATAACCCCCCAAAATCCATTCCAGCATAAGTCTTAGTCATAGACTTAGGAGTCTTGCAAGGTCCTTTCACTCTCTTCTGCCAGAAAAAAGAATTGTGCTAATCTATGCCCCATTTGCTGCATGAGGCAGCAAAACGTAATTTTGCCTACACAGCAGATGAGCTTTGAGCCAGTTCTACGATGGCTAATGAGATTACATTATACAAACAAAATGTGCAATGCATACCGAGAAAAACTTTCTCTGTCTTTAGGACTGCAAAAAAGTTTCCCAGAGGAAGCAATAATAACATGAAAGATAATATGGGGAACAGTAACGCAGAGAAGGCTATTGTCTGCAGCACTTATGAACTAATAAATTTCAGCCTCTACTGCAAAAAGCTCTGTAATACAAGATAGTGAAGGTGTAATTTAAAATAACGTGTATTAAACCAGAACACTCTCCTTCAAATGTATTATTTATTAGTTGACTTTGGTTTATTGCCAGCTAACTTTACAATTTTTTTCAGTTCAAGCAGTGCTTGTAAATTAAAAATTTATTTTAAGCATGTAGCAAACAGCTGCATATGGTAATTATGTAAATTATTTAAAAGCCTTATGTTTACCTTGCTTATATCAGGCTCAGATTTGCTGGAACACATACTTTGAAGTTCCTGCACAAGATCTACTTCATCATCAGAACCAAGGGACAGCCTTTGCTCTAGATTTAATGTTCTCAATTGATCATTCTCTGAAGACCTAGTAAAAAAAATAAATATAAATCCAAACCCAAAACAAACCACAAACAAAACAAGATATAGAATTTTATAAATAAATACTATATACACCTGGAAAACAGTAATTTATTTCCAAATGTTTTTACTACTACAAACAGGAAAAATATCTAATTCATTGGCAGTAGCAGTTGTAAATATTTGCTATTATCATAACAGATCTCCTGTCTATTCAAATCATTCTCTCTAACCTGAAATTCTAAGAAGGGATTCTTCTGCCCACTGTATTATTATTATTATTATCTTTTAATGGTGCAACCAATTTTATTCTCATCTCTTCATTGGACTTAATTCCAAACACTTTGATTTTAAAAAGCCAGCATACTGGAAGCATAAAGTATTCTATGTTCTCTGTTCCTGTGAATATGATGGCATAAAGGTTTCAGACTAAAGTCAAATCTCAAATGCAGTTCTATGTGACTAATTCATACCCTTTCTTAGAGAAACTCGGTGTTATTTAGAATAAAGTGCAGGTATGGTACAACTTCAAATTGCCATTCAGTAAGCCAAAACACCCAGAGGAGGGTTTTTATTTGTTTGTTTGTTTTTTAAATACAATGCCAAGTGAAAAAAGCATAAGGTTGGCTTTTTATGGCTGAATAAATGTTACATAATACTCTTAAGACATACTTTATTCTGTTACGTAAAAAGAGCACAAGGAGCTGCAAGCTTTGAATTATAGAAACTGATTCTAAAATAATACCAAGTGTACAAATTTTATTTTCTCTCAGACATGAAAATTAAATAGCATTCTTTTATTCAGATGTAAAGACAAAACATTATCAAGTGTAAACTCTTCATCCATTCATTGTTAGGTGCTGCGTTACCACACCATTTCAAGATTTTTATTGTTCCTACGTGTTACAAATATCAAAGATTAAAACTTACTTTGTGGCAAGAGAAGCTCTTTTCTTACAGTTTGGTTGCAACATAGTCTTAGATTTTACACCTGCAGAAAAGAGAGTTTGAGTTATTAGTGTATTATTATGTCTGCTGAATTCTTCAAAAAAAACAAAAACAACCTGTGATAAATGGGGAAAATGTGCTCTCATTTACTGGCTAAATAACTAAAGTCTTCCAAAGTTCAGAATACATCCCTTCAAACTGTTCAGAGTAGCATCAGGTCCATATGGGACTGCTAAAATAGCGAGAGTGATGCCTTTTTGTGGAAGTCAGAACATCAGATTTCTGTGCAAAGCACTGTTACTGGTTCTCTCAAACAGAAATCACTTATGAATGGGTAAAGATTTAACTTCATTTAAGAAAAATCAAATAATCTGCCCGTACTTTTATGTTGCAGGAAGCACGGCTGAAAGCACGACAGACACCAGTAAAGTCAGATCATGCTCCATTTTATTGCCCGAATAGCCTAACTTTTATAGTGAACTTAACAGGGGCGGACAGTGTTTCACACAAGATTATTGGTCAAAAGCACTCAGACAAACAACTACAAGAAAACAACCCCACCCGCAAGAAAACAACCCCCTTGTGATTAGCAGTCGCATAGACCTTGTCCTTGAAGCCAGCTACTGGTAACAATATTTTTCTGAATTCCTCAACTGGGCGATGTGGGAATACTGTCATGGGAACTTCTCATAGTTGCCCTGGTAGGTTGGTTTGCTCAGCTACAGCAAGCCATGGGATTTTTGCTGTTTCAAAAAAATCCCTCAACACTTTTAATATGAACAACATAGCAGAAACGAAATTAAATTCACCATTAAAAAAAACCAACACACACACACACACACACAAACAAAAAAAAACAACCAACCAACCAAAAAACTTATTTACGGATATTAACTCGACTCCAAAAGCATCTCTGCATACAAAGTACAGTGCTAACCATCCTACTTCAGTTTATGTTCATCTGAGTTCTCCAAATCATAGTGGGATCTTAGTAGAATTAGATTAATCTTAGTGGGGTTAGATTTGTTCACAATTCAAACAGAGAACTAGAAAGCAGAACTGGGACATTAGATTTGCAGTTCAGCAAAAGCAGATTTCTTTCTGAACAAGAGCTGAAGAAATGAATCGTTCAATTCAACATTAAAAAGTACCAGGCATCAGGTATTTCAGTCTTTCATATATAAGGCAATTGAGACTAAAATCTTCCTGTATTTAAAATGAAGGAAAAAAAAATCCTCTCTAAATTCCTCCCTAACTCTCCTGTCTAAAGGAGAGTTACCTTCATTTTCAGATAGCAAAAACAAGTTATTTGGTTTTCTCCTCTAGAAATTTCCCTGTTCGACATGGCATTTGGTTATGGCATTCCAAGGTTTCACTTCTAGACAGATATAAAAAAGAATACAATAAAAAATAAAATGAAGTTCTCTAAAAAAGAATGCAAGAATGACAGATTGCAAAAGAATGAATGTTGCTTCTACTTATATCCAGATGATATCCCTTTGTAGTAAACTGCTTGTTAGATGGCTTATGATCTTGAGGTGAAAACACAATTCAGAAGTGTCAGCTACTAGTAGAGCTTCCACATTTATACACACCCATAAACCTGGTGACACAAAGCCTTACATGATATAAAGATTTAAAAACCAGAACAACCCTCCAAAACATTGTGTGTGTACTCTAAATCAGGTGCAGATTTAAGGGACGAAGGAGGGAAGCAATCAAGTAACGAAGCTTCCTCACAGCCAGTACTGAGGAAGGGAATGACAAAGCATCACTCTCATCAGTGTGACATGTAACTATTGCTCTATCTCCCACCATCAGAGCCAAAGTCTACCTCATTATCACACAACAGGAAGGGCATTATAAAAAAAAAAAAAGTAATAAGGACTTGATTAGGTTACCTCATAGTGACAAAGAAATATTTTTTTTTTGAAAAAAAAGTCATTTTTAAAAAATGAGTAAACATAAACACAAGTGCTATTTTGTAGCAAAGTTTAAATTCATGATGTGGAAAAAAGTTACATTCCTACCTACTCAGTTTAAACCCCCACTTTTTTTTTTTGTTTGTTTGTTTCCCCACAATTCAAATAGAAAACTTTACCTTCAGTATTTGTCTCTTGTTTATTCCATGACTGGGAGGATAAGTGGCCTGACTTTTTGCGAGGACTTGTACTCACTTTTCTCCAAGAAGCATTTTCTCCTCTTTTCTTACCACAATTTTTGTAGCTTGAGACCATGGATAAAGGAAAGTTTCCACCCTTAAAATCTGCTATGTAATTATCTAACTCTGAAACAAAAATAGAACAATGTTAGAAAGAATTGTTGCAAATGGTGCTTCTTTGACAAATTTGTACAACTCTGTTAAGTTTTGTGGAAGTTTTGCAAAAGGAACCAAATGGTCAAAAGCCCTGCTTTGGCAATATACAACTACTTGCCTTTTTGATTGCTCACTCTTACCTGTTCTGGGTAGAGGACAGCCATGTAACACAGCTTTATTTAGCAAGATACTGAGAGCAGCTTTAACAACAGCCTGTTGACCTTGACTGGGATTTTTTTTGGCTATTGTTTGTCCTGGTACAGATGGTCTCTTCACAGAGGCTCTGGAGAGTATTGCTTCTTGGACTCTGGGAGCTATCACAGCATTCCATAACTTGGACATCCACCTGTAGGTGCACAAACAATTCTTTAGCCTCAGAGAAAATTATCAACCCCCCAGATTTGTGGGTAATACTTTGGGTAGCACATCAGATTTTGTGCTTTCGGGATGCACATATATTTTGGACATCCCATTGTACCCAATATCAGCAAAGAACTGATTTCATCAAGGAACTGTTTTATTTGTTTGCTTTATATTCAATTATTTGACTTTTTTTTTTTTTTTTCTCAGATGGCTTTGGCAAACTGTTTACCATCTGATGCTTTTCCTCTTTCAAATGAGGACATAAACCATCATTTTCTTTCTAAAGCTTAAAGAAAGAATGTCCCAGAAAAAATGTGTATCCATGTATATTAAAAAGAAAAAAACAAAAAACAAAAAACGAGCAACCAACCAAAACCAAACCAAACCAAACTGAAAAAAACTCTCTTTCACCTTTGCCAGCACATGGAAAAGTTTCCATGCTTGCAGGTGTTCATTCATAGCATATTTGCTGCCAGGGTGGGAAAAAAGGGCTATTCAGTCCTGATCTCACCCTTTCTAGTATTCTTCCATTTCCAAACTCGTCTAGCTTGCATGACCTTTCTTTTTATACAGCTGCCTTGCTCTCTCTCTCTCCTTTTGTTTATTTGGTCTATTCTGAACTGTGTTTCCAGGATGCTGTGGATTTTCCAGATTGTCTGGTTTAGAGACCAGGTCTGATTACAAAAAAATTGATTCAATGGGATGTGGTTCTTGTGGGATTTTTGCTTAAGAGAGAAATATTACACCTTTTTAGCACATGAGTGAAAAAGAAGTGTATTAACAAATAAATTACTGGTATTTGTCACAGCTTACAGTTCTCAGGGGAGAAAGGCTAGCAGTTTCAGGACTATGGCTTGTTTCACATTATATCAATCTTTTTAAAATCAAATACAACTTTTTTTTTTTTTTTCTCCCTCCTTATTACCGTCTTGTGGGATGTAGATGAGTAAAATTTAGAGCTACATAGATTATATCAAAGGTCCATATGAAATTACAGGCTATAATGCTTCAGCTTCTCAGAAATCCATTCAGAAAAAAACAAAGTGAAAAAGTCTGTTTCACTGAGGTGAACCATATTCCTCATATGTTGATACACAGAAGCCATCTTATTACCTCAAATGATGGCTTTTGGCTGGCTAGAAATAAAACTTTTTTTTTTTTTAAATTTAGAATGCATGAGTCATTTAATATATATTTTTCATTAGTTATGAAGCATAGATTGAATTTTTATGACATATAATTATACTGTAAAGTGCTTGTATAAGCTTGGTAAAAGTTATATTAATTCACAAAAGAATTAGTACAGCTAATAAGCTGTAAAATGCATATTTAAGATGTTCCTTGAAGCTTCTTAGCACGATGTTGTAGATACATTCCATGTAGACACAGTTTGCTTCTGCTAGCTGACTTAAGCTATGAAAGTAAACACTGGTTTACTATAAATTGCCAAACTGTAACTTTATCTCTCACTTTCTGCTCATGTAAGCTTCTGACTATCTGCAATATTGCTAGTAGGAATAGTCAGAAATGAATTCTGCAGAGATAAAAATTAATTTAGCACATTTAATCTAACAGTTAATGGCTGATGGGCTTTACAGTGCCATCCTCTCTTAATAAAATTCCAGCCTGGTGTTTAAATTTAGTCCTATGTTTGGTTTTCATTTGTGCACATTTTGATTAAATCCCCAGTTCTTTGATGTACCTGGTATTTTGGAAAGATGTAGTATCGCTCATCCCTGAAAAAGACCTGTAAAAAGGAACTCTTCCCTATCAGAACATCATTGTTAATTTTCTAGATCATAAACAAAAAAATGCAGCTAAAATTTCCTCATTTATTCAGCCTACTCTCCAAAACATGTGAAGCTACATGAAAGAGCTCACAGCATGACACAATTTCCTGTTGTGCTTTCTCTCTCCCTCTCTCTTTCCAGTTGCCTGCTTTTACCACTTACCTTGCGCTAACACCCAGCCCAGACCTAACTCAGTTTCCAGATAGCTGGCTACTACGTTAATGAATTGAACTGACTCAGAGAGGCTTTGACAAATGCAAAAAGCAGCAGAATAGCAGTGGAGAAGAGGGGCAAGAGGACAGGAGTGGCTAATTAGATTGAAATAACACCAACCAGTGAGCAGTTAATTAAACCTATTTACTGCTAGTTATATGACTACACTGTTAGGCGTCACGCTGCTAAACCTGAAGTGTCTACTAAGTGCTCACTGCAGCTGTGCTTTCTAATTGTTTATTAGTAGACAAAAACTGCATTCAAATGAAGAGTCAGGTGGCATATCACTACTGTGAAAGATATTATGGAGATGTGGTAATTACCTCAAAATACTGCATTGTGAATCTAGTCAAGGTTACTCAGGACAAATCCAAACCAAGAAATGCATAGTTAAGGTATCTAAGCAACACTTTTTCTGCCTTCTACTGATACCATTACAATAAATAACTGATTAAGACGTTTCAGTGGACACGGACCAAGAGGAAGACAGGAGATAAATGCATGGTGTGCTTTATTCATTTTTTATTTCATAGCAACCATAACATTTTCAGCCAATGCTAAATCCACATTTAGAATTCGATAATTACTCTGGATATTAGAAAACCTTGCCCTTTAGAGAGAGATGAGAAAATAAACAAGCAAAATTTATCAAGTTCTGGACAGAGAAAAAGGTGAGAAGGCTAGTGCATACACTAAGAAATGGACCTTGGACTAATGGTGAGCAGAAACTGATAGGGGAGAAAAGTCAGAGAGGGAACAGAAGGGGCAATCAAGGAGAATGCTGATCATACGTGAGAAAATATGATCACATGGTGAGAAAAGTAAGGTCACACACTCCAGAAAAGCACATTATTTGAGTTCTGAGTAAGTTGGAATCTTCATTAGGGCTCGTTACCTTTCTAATATAGCCAAACAACATCCTATCATGAAATCAATATAGCTTAAATTTCTGTAAGTATTTCTTGTTTCACTTGCTAATGTTTGCAGAGGTTGGAATGTGAGCAGATGTTCAAGCGATACGTACCAGGCAGGAAAAGACAAATTTTCATCATTCTTCTTTGATTTCACTGGACATCTAACCATGTGCATAGCTAAAAAGAATGTATCTGCCTTATTTTCTAAGCTAATCCTTCCGTGAAACTGTATGTGTTTAGAAATGATACCAGACATTAGAAAGGGTGAGAAAGCATTCTACTTCCCCATATTTCTCTCATACGCAACTTCAAAAGGAAACTTTACCAACTTTTCAAGTTCAGAATTCTTGATTCTTATTTTGATCTGTTCCCCAGTGAAAAGTTTTCTTTATAGTACTGTCTTGGAATGAAGAACAGAACCCTTAAAGGGCTGAGCAAAATTAGTCATTCCCGTACACACACTATTTTAGAAACTCTGTGTTGGAAAATAACTGAAAGGTCACAACAAAAGACTGATTTTTAACCAGTGTTAGACACCCAGTTCCCACTTCTGTCCTTCAAAATTGCCCTTCTGCTAATTAAATACCAAACAAAAGTCTTAAAGCTTTCAGTAACTTCCACTAAAATACTTCCAAGGATGCTGAGTCAGATGAGTTTGGGGAGAAACATAACAGCTATATTGGTAGGAAATATTTGATTGGCACTGAACAGGGTCAAACAAACAGAAATCTTACTTCACTGTTGCTTGGCCGTGCCCTGGCACCACTGGACAAGAGAAGAAATGTTTTGGCCCCATAAGAGCTTCAGGTGCTCCAAGACGAGATAAGCAAGAGTTCAGCTGGTGCCAAACAGCAAGAATCCAGTCTATGATCTTGCACACAGGATCACATGGAGGAGGTACTTTGCCTCTGAACTGCAGAGAGAGAAAAGATGACTGACACAATGCAAGACCTCTGCTGTAAACACTTATCCTGAAGCCCTGAGAAGGCCTGTTTTTTTTTTTTTTTATTATTTTTTATTTTTAATTTAATTTTTTTTTCCTCCTTCTATCATGAAAACCAAGAACAGACAAAAGCTGATCAAACTTTTCTATGACATATACTGAAGTCTTCTGGTATTAAACCTTATTTCCCCAACTATGACTCCTTATCAGTGAACTGACATGCCCCTACTTTGTTTTTGGAAACTGAGACACAAATTTGACTACATTGCTTTTTATATGGTGTTCAAGATTAGAATTACAAGAGGCATTTAACATATCCTATGCAATATATATAATAAAAATAGGGCACATAAAAGAATATACTATCACACTGAACAGGAATGTCTGATCCAGGCATATAGTCAGTGGGTTTCTAACTTAGTTTTATATTTAGTAGCAGTGAAGGAAAAATGCCTTCCTGTAAGACTTACATTTTTAGTATGCCTTGTTAAAGGAAAATTATTTGGTGCCAAAAAGATCTTCTATCTCATCTGAGTCCAAATTACAGTCTTCATCATCCTAATCCTAGGATTATCCTCTGGAGCAGTTTGAATTAAAGGAAGCTTTAAAAGATGCACTAGGGATAGTATTTGCCAGGATTGAAGCCAGAGCTCCTGGAATAACTAACAGAGTCTACAGGTGAACAATTTAATATTAATGTAGAAAAACATTTAAACTGTTCCCAATACATCTCCAGAACAAGGAGAAAAAGAACTTTTAATCTGAAAACATGAACATTAATGCACAAGCAAGTTATTAGAATAAAGAACAAGTATCTATGAAATAATCTACTGTCGTACTGTTGAAACAATGAAGGTGCTTTTATTTTCCCTTAGATTTTTAAAACAGATTAATTTTTCTTTTACTTTTAACATTGGTCTCCCCTATTTTAAAACCCAAATCATGTGGCACACACACACGTTAAAAAACAAAAACAAAACCCAGGCTAATGCACTGGGCATTCATAGTCATTATTTAAGATGAAGATACAAGAAGACATGCTTTTTTTTTTTTTCTTTTTTTTTTTTTTTTCCTCCAAATAGCCACCATCAGCATACATGTTTTAGCGAAAAAGAACTTAATGAGCCAACTACCCAAATTCTGCTCAAGTTCAGTCAGAGGTAGGAACCTATTACACTGTTAGGCTCTTACCTATGAGACTAAGGACTGCTGTTAGTCTAAACAAAATAGCCTGAAAATGACATGTTACACGATGCTGCAAGTTCTGGTAGTCGAAGCAGTTTGATACAGCCCATGCCTACGGCCAAGTCAAAATACAGCAGCTTCTGCAACTGCCTGCTTTGCTGTATTTCTTGGCCTGGCACTTAAATGAAGAAAAGTCCTTCTCTCTGATCTTTAATGACCTAGGATTGTGTTCCTGTCCTTTCATAAAGGGACTTAGATCACACTTTAGATATTCTCCATTGTAGGCTTGAGAACGCAACCTCTATCCTTAAAGGATGAAGGAGAATTCTGATACATACTTTTGCACTGTCCTCTGGTCTGTATTTCATTCCAGCACTACAGCATATTTGCAAGACAGCAGTTTCAACCATCCTACTGTCTTGCCTACACACAGTTGCTACTCTCCTCCATCCTTTGCAAGGATTCTGGAAATCATTCAGACTCTCAGCCAGAAAACGACTCATAACGATTACAAAGATTTAAAACTTACAGGGAAAAAAGTAAACATGAGAAAAAAAAGAAACTGTAAAAAGTAATCTAAGGGGAGTAATCTGGTAAGAGTTCAACTGATACATTCCCCTTTATTCTTTATATTCTGTACTTCTGTTCTTGCTATTAAAGTATATACATAGTATATACATAGTAATGTTTTAAAATTTCCTCACTACCATGACTGAAATTTCATCTTTACAATCTCTTCAAATTAGTAAGCTTTTATAAATGAGACTGTGGTAGATGGCACAGGGTACAAAAGATGACATCCTCAAGGATAACCAAGATATGCACAGCTGTACACTCCGAACTAACACTAGGTCTGCTGTCCCAGATCAGGACTCTCTACTACCGAGTTCTTCCTATTCCTAGAACAATTTCTCTTTTTAAGCCTGTCCAAAACTCTGCGGCCAAGATTATCTTCCTTTGCAGCTGTTCTGATTAAACTCCCCTCCCCCTCTCTAACACTGCCTGTCTACAACAGCTACTATTACACAGGAATGCTTTTTTTCCAAATAACATTCAAAATTCCAGTTCTGCTTTTGCCCCCCTCCACCCTTTTTTTTTTTTTTTTCCCCCTCCCATTTCCTATCAATTTATTTACTCATTTTAAAATAGGCTTCCATCTTTATTCTCTTTTGGTGTTTTGTTCCAACTTCAGCAGGCCTATTGGCTCAAAACAACCTCCTTACTAATGCTTCTCACCTCTCTTTCCTGTATGAGTTCCTTACAAAAACTTTTTGCTGCATAAAGCTTAGACAATATGCACGGGGCATATAACTATCTTATTTTAGATGTACAGACAATTAATATTTATCGAACAGATTCTTCCTTATCATGCTCACACAGAAGATGAAAAAAAAACACTGAAGGAGATTTCATGTGGTGGATAAGCAACTACATGCAGTATTATTCTTGTAGCCTACTTGTGTGTTTATGCCACAAGTACATACCTTCCTATATTAAGTCAAGCATGATGTTTACAGATAGACACCCCAAATATTCTTGGAAATATATTTTTTCCTGAAACAATTCTGTTACCTGATCAGCTTTTGACATTACCACTGTATATATTTCATAGAATCGGTGATAAACAAAATCACCGTGAAGGTGAAGCTGATTCAAGTTGTGCTTACCTTGTTTATAACTTTTCTTCTCAAAAACCTTTGAAGCAAACCACGCATTGGTTCCCCATCCCACCTAAGCTGAACCCAACGGAAATGCTGCTGGACTAGCAGGTCAGAGCCATGAAGATGACACTTCGCTATCGTTCCCAGTAAAAAGCAGTTTTCATGAAAGTAAAAGGCACCAGAAGCTCCATTTGCTAAAAATGAAACAAAAAACATTTTACTAAAATACCCAGATGCCTCTACCTGACTTTATATTAAGTAACCGTGTCTTGCTTTTATTTGAAAGGTAAAAACAAACCACAAGCTATCCTTAAAATTTAACATGCTGATTTTAGCTAATTGTATTTTGCAATAAAGCACAAAAACTGAACAAATTATGTTTTTCTCCTCCAAGTTCCCCTCCAAGTGTTGTGTATTATAATAAAACCATAGTAAAAACATATCTCCATACAAAATTCTTTAAATACCTCTTTGAATAGTGCAAGGGTTTTCCGAACTACGATTCTCAAGAGGTGCCAGGAAATCTCCTAGTAATTCAGATAAAGAAGCTCTCTCTAGATTTTCTAAAATCACGATGGTTGTCTTGCTTACAGGAGGCTGTTTAACTGGGACAAGACATGCTGAAATATAAAAATCCCATTAATGTCTACTTACAAAAATTGATTTTCATTTATGTATACAGTTTTAATGCTACTCGTGCAACAAAGGCTTTTTTATATTTTATTTTTCCTTTTAGCATGTTCTACAATATGTACAAAACAAAAAGCATAAAAACAGTGGAAAGAATCTCACACTGTGCAGTAAGGAAAAAAATAAAAAGCTAAAAATAATCCTGAAATGACTATAATGAAATCTTCACATATAGAAAGGATTTTAGGACACTGAAAATAAATAGCAAGACGATAGCAGAGATCTCTGCAAACTTTTCTTTCTTTTGCTGCTAATACATCTTAAGCTTTTAACATGTACTCTTTATTCCATGCAGTGATAAATGGATAAAGAATATTCCATGTTCATATGAAACTTCATCACTTGGTGAGATTAACTATTTGTTTGCTACTATCCTCTCTTCAAAAGGTCATTCCATATCTCTAAGAATCTTCTAAATAATCAAAACCAGGTTGAGGCTAGTTTGATGAGAAATAGTAGCACCTGAATCTAACAGGCATTAAAATTAAATATTTAATTTTTTCACATTTCTTTTTTTTTTCTTTTTTTTTTTTTTCCTCCTGATTTCAGCACCTTATGGCCTAAATAGATATTGTTATAGAATCATAGAATGGTTTGGGTTGACAGGGACCTTAAAGATCATCTAATCCCAACTCCCTTGCCATGACACCTCCCACTAGCTAGACCATGTTGCTCCAACCTGGTCTTAAACACTTCCAGGGACAGGACATCCACAACTTCTCTGGGTGAACACTTGTCTTTGCAAGTATTCCCATAACACAAAATCCCAGAACAATACTTCTCTAATACAAATATTAAACAAAACACTTGTCCTGAGCATCCTTTGGTTTATTTCAGAACTTGTTGAAGGTGACACTAAAGATGGTCATGAAGGAAAATGATGAGTAACAGTGCAAAACCAGAATGGCTAGCAGTTATAACAATAATGTAAATCACAAATGCTATAAGGGACATTAAAAACAAAACAAAACATACACACACACAAAAAAAAAAAAAAACAACAAACCAAACCAAAACAAACAAACAAACAAAAAAAAAAACAACAAAGAAATCAAAGAATTGAATGGGTGAAAATCAGAGAGTACTATGATCTTCAACACAATACTGAGAGCACAAGGACATAGGAAGTCTGGAAAATAACAGGCCCATCAAATTATGCAGTCTCAGCTTGTTTTGTTTAGGAAAAATAAACTTTGATAGAGAACAAGAATGGTCTCCAAATACATGGTACATATACATGGGATGTAAATGTTATGAGGGGGAAAGAGCTAGCTAAAATAAACAAACACAAAAGAAATCATCAAGAGAGCAAACATTTAAACCATACATTAAAAACTCAGGCTGGAAAACAGATCTTAAACATGGGAATGTAGTCTGGAACAGGCTTCAAGAAGGACTCACTGAAAACAAGAAGAAAAAACCACAAGCGAGTAGGGAGATCTAGCCACTTTTCAAAAATGTCGAATATATTGTTAAGAAACTGTAAGATAATTGCTTGCAGTGCCTAGGCATCGGACTCAGTGATGCACTCACTGTTCATCACTTTCTTTACTTTTGCCTAAATTAATCACCTGCACTTAGGGGCAAAACTGACACCTCTCTGAGTTTCTGTTGATTAAGAATTATATTAGAAACAGATCAGTTCTAATCACTGGCATCACTTAGGCTTGAACTTGCTCAGTATTTACAATGCTAAGGGTAACAGTCCTTCCAAATATGAAATTTATCAGAAGAAAGCAATTGACTGAGTTCCAGCAGACAAATATACACTTCTTTATATACACTTCTTTACATGTTAAAGCTGGGCAGCAACACATTGTTTGTGCTAGGTGAGAAGGAGATTGAGATCAGTCTTTGAATATATTTAGGTTATGACTGAAATGAAGGCACTGATGTCAGACCTGTTGGTGATCATAAGGAAATCTTCAGATATTTCAATGCCACTGAAGGAGAAGCCAAGACCAAGAGGGCTTTTCTGGAACCTATAATGCTCTTTTATTTTGAAGAGACCGCATTCTTATGTGTCTGGAAAGCTTTTGAGGTTCTCTGAGGAGAACACGAGGTTGCATGCAAAGTCCCAGAAGTCAAATAGAAAATAAATAAAAATAAAAATAAAAATAAAATAAAATAAAATAAAATAAAACAACAAAACAAAACAAAACAAAACAAAACAAAACAAAACAATGGCCAAACAAAAAACACCCAAGAAGTTTTGACAAGAAGATTCTTTCAACTGGCAATTCCCTAAAGTTTTGGCTCACTGAATACTTTGGTTTCCCATTCTACGTGACCTTCACTGAACCACACTCATTTCTGCAGTGACTGACTGTAGCTGATGATTCCTGACTATTACTGCCCTGTTTTACTAAGAGGATATGGCTAGGCAGCAGGGAGGACAGGTTTACCAAGTCCTAAATACAATCCTTTGGGTCTGATTTAACCATTTTGAGGGAGGAAGAGAGAGCTCTCCTAGGGGAGAAGATGTGACAAAACAATGGGGAAAGAAACAGGCATCAAAACAGACACAGATGCACAATGCTGAAATGCAAGTACAGGCTATTAAGAAAAGTGTGTTACTGACTTGGAGTAAAGCACTGAAAAAGAAACTTTCCTACAGACGCAGAGGCTAGTAAATAAACCAGACCATGAATGAGTTTCTGGCCTGCAGGGTAAATGTCAAAGCCTAGCTGAATTCTGACTAAGTGTTCTCTCCCAGCAATGTGGTGGCACTCAAAATTATATGTGGGAATAATCATAATCACTGGCACATGTTACCTCCCAGCTGTGATTGGGATTTCCTGGGAGAGAAAACAAAACAAAACAAAACAAAAAAAAAAACTGACATAGAAATTACACTGGGAATCACAGAATCATGGAATAATCTGAGTTTGAAGGGACCCACAAGGGTCATCAAGTCCAACTCCTGATTCTGTACAGGACCACACAAAAAATCAGACCGTGTCTGAGAGAACTATCCAAACACTGCCTGAGCTCCAACTGGCTTGGTGCTGTGCCCACTGCCCTGGGCAGCCTGTCCCAGTGCCCGACCACCCTCTGGGTGCAGAACCTTTCCCTAACCCCCAGCCTGACCCTCCCCTGTCCCAGCTCCATGCCGTTCCCTTGGGTCCTGTCGCTGTCCCCAGAGAGCAGAGCTCAGCACCTGCCCCTCTGCTCCCTTTGTGAGGGAGCTGCAGGCCGCCATGAGGCCTCCCCTCAGCCTGCTCTGCTCTGGGCTGAACAAACCAAGGGACCTCAGCTGCTCCTCATACATCTTCCCCTCTGGACCCTTCACCATCTTTGTAGCTCTCCTTTGGACACCCAGTTGTTTCATGTCCTTCTTATACTGTGGCACCCAAAACTGCACACAGGTCTGCCAATACCAAGAAGGAAAAGTTAGGGGTTGATCCTCTCAAAGCTCTGTTTCAAAGTTTCACCATGATAGAACGGGAGACTGTATCCATAGACATACCAATCTCAAATGCCTAAAACTCAGGCTCTTTCAGTAGAGAAAGTGAAACATAAAATTCACAGCTCGTGAAATGCAAGGCTATCTCAAAAAGTAATGACATGTCACATTTATTATTAACGTGAATGAATATATTGGATGAAAGGTAAAATTTAAATCCTAGCACTCTAGAATAAGCCAGAGTAATAAAAGAAAGGTCCAGCATTTTTGGATGAAAATTAAGTCTTGCTACCAAGGTTAGATTCAAACTATGTTGCTGTTTTTTCTTAATGAAAAGTATAACTAAAAACTTATAAAACAGAAATGGAAAAAAAAAAAAAAAAAAGGAAAAGACTTCAAAGGGGTGAAACCAGCTGCATAGCTGAGAACAGCTTTCACACAGCAAAACTGTATTTGAGCCAAAATTAATTTGGACAGTACCAAAGAAGAAAAAGTGTCCTATCACCCTTCAGGCTCTTATATTAATACCTTATGTGTAATATGTTATATATATTACATATTATTTTATATTTCATATACATTGCTATATATTATTATTTTTATATACTATTATTATTACTGTATGATTAATACCGTGGTGAAATAAAAGAAATCCCAGCTTAAATGTATGAGTATTCAGAATGCAGTAAAACCTACTTATGAACAAATCCTCCAGAAAAAAAATTTACCTGGTCCTTTACTTCTAGTATTATTCTATTCCTTTTTTTTTATGTCCTCCTTGCTACATCTGACTGATCCATGTGTCTCTATTCTTCTGGTTCCATACTTATTTTGAACATTCACACTGTCATCCTACTTTGGCTACTATTACCTTTTTTTCCACTCTTATCAATCATTCATCATGAACATGCACAGGTACAACCTATGGAGCACTCTGAGAATACTTCATTATGGAGCACCCAAGTAAAGGGACTTTAGCCTACAAGTAATTATTGCCATCTTTTAAAAGAAAACTATTAATTTTAACAGAAATTCAACTTTATCCTGGAGTAATGGGATACAGAACACAAGCACACTAACATTTGCCTGCCCCGATGACAAAACTTGGGCACAGAACCTCACTTAAGTATCTAGTAAACAAGCATATATCAAAAGCAAATGATCTGGCTTTTTAAGAACTAGTAATTATAACTTCTCTTCCCATACATATTTAAACATTTGAACAGCTACAATAAGGCACTAATACTTTCATTTTTCATTCAGTAGGTTTGAACCACAGCTATCAACTTAAAGGCTCACAAGCAAAGGGAAAAAGGAACAAGACAGAAAAAAAGCCAAATAAAGAACTATTAATTTTACTTAAATGTCATGAACTTTTATAGAGCTCCCTACTGGATTGTCATACTTATTTCTACCTCAGTTTAGACACTTACCATTAAAAGTAAATCATGTAAATCCCAAGTAAAATTATGGAAAACCATGAGTTCTGTTAAAACGCGTCACCCACTATGCAAAATGTTTTAATGTATTTACTTTCTTTGTACGATTAAAAACTTTCCTACAAATTACCAAAGTCAATCTGCTGAAATAAGCTTACCGCTACTGATGAACAGTTCTGCAAGCTGCTCCTTGGAGAAACCAGCATCCACTTCCACTTTAATGATATCACATGTAGATCCTGCAGCCACTTGTTTTTGCTGTGTCGAAAATGTATGGATTTGGTGAAACGGTACATACTCCAATTTGCAAAATGATTTACTATATATGCGTTAATACCTTCATGCAGGCCGCTATCTGATATGCTATGTAGTCTTGCAAACTTCCTTCTGGACCATGGAAGATGACGTTACGGTATTGTTCAACCTACATACAGACAATACATTATTCTTGAAAGTTCATAGACTTGGATTTTTTTTTCTTTTACACGAATGAGAATCAGAACCTAATAAATTATTAAATTATTTGTTTTGTACTACTGGAGTTGATAATTCTTACTATATAAAATACAAAATAGACAGTGCTTGCATACCACAATATTTTCAAAGGGGAAGTTCCTGTTTATATCTTTATTTGTAAAACCATAGGACAAAAGTATTCTTTTCATTAACTTGAATGTTTGTGTAGGAAGGATATGCCTAGGAATCACAGCTAAGTATTTCTTCATTCACATTAGAATAGTTGTATCAGAATGATGTTACAATCATTAAAGAGTAGTTTAAGTCACTGCAAAGGACTTATGGACCTAGCATAAGGACTTTATTTCCAGTTGAAATGGGTTAATTTTATTGATGCAGCAGAATAAAAAATATTTTGTCTATCTTAACTTTAAAATTACTTCATCTATAAAAAATAATTAAGAGAGTACACGCACATCATTGTGCAATATTGTTGAACACAGCAGAAATCTGTGACATACAACTGCTCTTCTAAGCAACACAAAATGTTATCGTAGGACACAGCAAAATTTATGTATTTTTTTAAACTAATTCCGAATCAATGATCAATGTTAAAGCAAATGACCTAAGAAAGTTAACTCACATTACCCAATTATTCCTACATTTTCAGATATTAAATAACTTACAGGAGTTACAGGATATATATGTATATATACACACATACACATATATACAAAGATAGATAACTTTTATACATATAAGCTGATAATAAAATTAGTCTCAAATAATTGCTTACATGATTTCTAAGTTACTTTTCCCTCAAAAAGTGGAATGAAATCACTTGGAAAGAAATAAGATATCAAAGATTTTTAAATATATTTTCTTAAACAGTAAAGTTAATCAGATGACAGTTATTTAAAGAATGAAGGGAATGCCCTCATGTGGCTTAAATTATTGGGAGAATGTTTACTGGGAATTTTATTTTAAAGTAGCAGCTTCCATCCTACTTATTTTTTTAGAAATCTTGACATTTCTAGAGTAGAAGGCTTTTTTTTTTTTTTTTTTTAGTCACCTCTATTAATGTAATAATTTCACATATGAATAGCATGTGGAGAGAAGTTAGCTTGGTACTCACCAGGCGGAGGTAATTCTGAAGAGTCTGAAGATGGATCATAGATGCATAGGTCACACTATTTAGGCAGCCTTCTTGAGGTCCTTTAAAAAAGAGATAAGCAAATAACTTTTCTAAATCTCTCATGTTGATACGCATGTATAATGAACGCATGCTTTTTGTACTGTTTCTACAGCAATCTCCTAAAATTATAGGCTATACAAATTAAATAACAAAGAAATTAAAGACATCTAGCTACACAGATTCAGAGTTATCCATGACATATGTAAAATGGATACACCCATACAATCAAAAAAGACAGTACGGCTTTTGTGTGCCACCATATTTTCTAAATGTTGTAAGCCCTTTCAAATCAAGCTAAACAATTGACTGGATATGGTATTTCTAAGGACTGAGTAATGTTGAAGAACAAAACCAGCAGTAAATGATTCTCAAAGTATATATTTCATGTAGTGTTTGAACAGTCAAAACTGAAAATTATGAATTGAAAATTACCAAACAAAAACACTGTGATATGTTCAGCTCTGTTCTTCTTCAGGAAGTCCCATGGTGGTTGGGAAAAATTCTGACCTGTTGACCATGAAATGTTTCCTATTAAAAAGAGAAAAATGAGAGATTCTTTGCATCAATGTAAAGTATCCTATACTTATGCATATACAATTACTTACAGATTGTGTGTATACACTGACCAATTTGAGAAATAGACCAGTCTCATGTAATAATTATACTATTATTTGATATATGACTGATGATTCTGATGTTTTCTGCCAATTAATAGACAAATTAATAGCTAGATTGTCTTTACATCTTTACATGTAATACACTATCCTATAAGTAAAAGAACATAATTTGCACAGTCAAATAGGAATAGATTTATTTTGTTGTTGGTGGTAACTTTTTTTTCTTTGGGTAGAGGTGGAGATGATATACATGAATTTTCAAGTGTCTTATGCAATTGTTAGTACTACCACATTCTGGTCAATTTTCTCATTATTTTGATTCTTTCAAAATATTTTTATATTATACATTGATAAGTGAAACTACATAAAACAGGGGTAGCTCTGTTCTACTTAGGCTGATGATCTACATTCTGGATTTACTGTACAGTCTAGCTGTACTGTACAGATGATAGTGTGGGCTTTGGTTTAACTCATTTTGTTTCACACGTAATACAGATACCTCCTCTAGAGTACTAAACCGAGTAAGGGACTAAATGTCATAGGACCTTATGGTTGGTCCCCAAGACAATGTTAAAGTACCATACACGGTTAAAACAAAAGTATACTTTCATGTCAGCAATGTTCAAAATTTTATACTTATTGGCCTTTCTTAGTCTGATATCTAAAAGATCAAGAAACCTAAGATATTTTTATCTTACTCTACTTCTTTATAGTAAGTAATACTTAAACAGTGAGTATAAAAATGTTTTATTAAATGTATGTATAGTCATGAAAGCACTGATAACATTCAGCAACTGTCAAAAGTAACTTTTAGTATACTTTAAACTATGGAATAAATTAAGATTTCACTAATTCAGGAAAACCATTCATTTTTGCTTTTATTACACCAATAATCATACCTAGTTTGACAGATAATATACTGCTTGCACTGAGGCCAATGCTGGATTCTGCAGCACTATTATATGACAGGTCTTCTAGGCTCCTCCATCCATCAGAAGTGATTGCTTGGAAATGATTTGTCACTGCCTGATTTACTGCTTTGGAAAAATCATCCCATGATGTCTGTTTGCGGATATTTAAAGCACATATTGTGTTTTCTGTATCGAATTCCTCTGTACCACAATGGGCTGGTTCAATGCCACTGACTGAAATCCTTACAGGTACATTAAGAGCATCTGTTGAAAAACAGAAAAACTATAATGAGAAAAACTGTAAAACCTAATACAAATTATGTTATTAAAGACCAGTAACACCTCATATTTAAAAGGAAAGCCACAACATAACTCCTGCTACAGAAGAGCAAATGTAAAAGCAGAGCACAGGTCACCACCACAAAATCAGAGCAATAATGAAAAGTAGATATCAAGGTATCTATTAAAAAAAAAATAATAAAAATAATCAGTATTATCATGCTCAAATAATAACGGGAAAGACAAAATTTACTTAATCTTTGTTTTCCTCTTCATAGACTAATTCATTATGAATTAAGATTGTAGCAAGCTTATTAATGTTTCAATTTATTGTGGTTGTGTCCATTTTATTATCAATACAGAAAGAAACTTATTGGCTCTAGTGCATAAGTGGAAAACACAGTTAGGTGAGCCAAATGTCTTTAAATAAAATCTAAGAAAATTCACTTAGAACTGTGTATTTTATTTTCTATTGAACACTAAGAAAATTTTAAAAGAAGAAAGTAGAAAATTTACATCCATATGCAAGAAACATACAATAAAATCAATTTAGCTATTTTGAAGCTTACTCTTTGAAAACATTGAAAAAAAAATCAAGAGAAGCAGCAGTCTGTATAGATTAATCAGATGACTAAAAATGAAAATGAAACTATTTTCAATCTTACTGCAAAACCAGAACCTTTCAGAAATTATTCATGTAATCTAAAATAAGTGCAATGCAAAAAAATTATGTCAGCTTATCCTGGAATCTTGCAATATTATCTTAGTTTTGGTTTTGAGCTCAGAAGCCAAATCTTCAGCTGATACAAACCAGTGAGGATTTTCTGACTTCACAAAAGCCCTGATTTAAATACATTAGCCAAGCATAGGGAAAAGATTACTCAGGCATCCTTCAGATATAGGATTATGAGATATGTATCAAAGACTTGCCCTTCTGATGTCTGGACCTCATGGAAATGAGTAATGACCGTAAGAAACAGAGGGGGTTCTCTACAAGGAAACAGCCCCCTAGGATGGAGTTACAGTGTATGCCTAAACCTCAGTGCAGCTTACCTCTACAGAGTAGCTGGCAATCCTGGCCCCCAGTCATTCATATAGGTTGGTGCACGTTTTAACTGTCCTACATGCAAGTAACTCCTTACAATGAAAACCTTGCTGGATTGTGAGGAAGGCAGAGGATGGCACCTACCCAGTTTACCCAAAATGCAGTCTTGGCTTGGTGAGGTGTACATCCATATCCAACAGCAATATTTCCAAGTTTCTACAGATCAGATACTGCGTGTGCGTGTGTGTGGGAGCTAATTATGATTGCAGTGATGTGAACTACAGGCTTAACAAGTGAACCATATGGGAAATGCAGCCCAAAGGTTCTGACCTGATAAAAGCAGTTGGATTCATGATAAGCCTGAGCAGACTGACAGGAGATTAGGACTGATGAAAATAATACAAGCATCTACTTAGCAGGCTAGAGATTCAGCCATTGGAAACTAGCTTAAGTTTGATACAGAAGTAGACCACAGAGGCGGAGTTTCTATCATAAAGTGAGTTGTGCACCTATGGTAAAATGGTAGGAATCCAGATGTTATAATAGCTGAAGATGAAAATCAGAAACAGCTCAGAGAAAGCTTCTTTAGTTTGTTGATAATCAATGAACTTTACTAATCACATAGCTACATCCCACAATGCAAACACAAGAGAAAGTGAATAAATCAAAGCATGCAAATCTACAAAGCTTGTACTTCTGACAATACAGAAGAATAGAGAAAACAGAACTTGTGAGTGCATGGACCGAGTTGGAACTCAAGAAATACAGGGGTAAGCCAGCTCTACCAGATTTTAAGAAAACTTACAGACAAGGAATAAGACAGTTTCCAAGAAAAGAACGATCTTCTGGCAGAAGTTATTCGTGTGGGTAAAAAGAAATTGTTTGAAGTTTTCTCTAAGACTTGCTCTGAATAATAAACAATCCCTAACACTATAAACAAGTGACAATTGAAACTGTGCTTTTAAAGACTAGATGATTGTCTTAGCCTGAGGAAATATGACAGCTATCCAACACTCAGTGATCTTTCCGCAAGAATTTGATTAAAAGATGAGAATGAAGGTCGAAGAAGATAATAGCTTTGGAAAAATTAGCTATAATATTAAATTCAGAAATTTTACAAGGATATATGCTTACATGTGTACTATATATACCATCTTTTCCAATGGATTAAAAACATGAGATATAAATCATGTGACACTCTCCAGCAAAATTTTATCATACGCTTTTGCAAAATTTGGACAATAGTAACTTGCTAAAGTAAGAACATTTTTTGGTGACAACTGTTTTTTTTTTAATCTCACAAGTTCTTTACTAAATCAATTTTTATACATTACTAATAGCAATTACTTACTTAAGTTTTCTAGGAGGTGTTTACAGTCATCAGTAGCAACATCATGCAATGTTCGGTTACACTTATCTTTTCTTTCAGCCTCTAGTCCACCATGGCTACAAAGGATTTCTAGACAGTTCTGCAAAGGTAAGAGTTGTGTTAATTAATTGTCCATTTGCTTCATTGCAAAGCTCTACCATTACACAAGACTCCTAACTGAAATTCTTATACATGTATTTCCAAAGATCAGCTACAGAATTTCTATATATGGTTGTCCAAGCAATATTCCTCCCTGAGTTGAAAACCAGGTGTAAAAATATTTTATACACCAGTCTTGAAAGTCTCAAATGAAGATTTTGAAAAAGCAGAACATAACACAACCAGGCTTCTACAGTCTTTAAGCATCAAGAGCTGATCCATTGAAATGAGCAGTTCTTAACATCTAGCCACTAGTTTAGATATTCACATAAGGAAACAGAAGCCCTATGTCACAATACGATACAACAGAGCCATTTCAATACATCCTGTTTTGAAAATCTGTTCCTCGATATTCAAGCAATACTAAAAAGGCAATTCTAAAGCTTAATAAAGACTAAATCAGGAAGCTATTCAAATGAATCCATAGAATCAGTTTTCACTCTCCGTTTCAGCAAGAATAAGATTCCATTGTGCCTGACATCTTAGTGGTACAAAGCAAAAGAAAAACAATTTTTTAAAATCACCTTGCAAGCCTCTCATTTGGCAGAAAAACACAAATTTCTCCAGGCATAGTAGCGATACAGTGAAATAATAACAATGCATTTATACTAAACTCAGAGCACAAACATTTTGTAGATCATACAGTGTAGATACCAACAGCATGATTGCCTTTAAACTTTGAAGACTGAATAAATATATACATATATATATATTAAAAATATATTTATGTTTACATATAATTATATATATAAATATATATATATATAGATAGAGAGAGAGAGAGGGGCATGGTAGAGAAAAGCAAAAAACCATTACATTTCATTAGAAACAAGCTACGAACAGATACGTTTGAATTGGTACAATCATACTATAACCAAGAAAATCAATTATATGGGCATTTCAAAACTAGAAAAAAAAAAGCCCTCATGAAACTACATTTCAAATTTTGATTTGAAATCAGTGGTCAGAAGACCAATTAATTCCTGATTTTTAATGACATTTAACAACAATACAGGTGGCCTGTATGAAAGCATTGTCATCCTTAGTCATGCCTTCAAGGACAGATATCCATTTCAAAAAATTTGTCATCACTAATGATACTAATTATTATTGCATTGTTAACCTCTGGATCTAACTGTAGCAGAGAAACAAATCTCGAAAATACAGAGAAGCAGCTTATAAATGTTCCAATCATTCCACGTTTGGCTTTTGTTACCTGTTTTGTAGCTGCTGTTACAGAAAGAAATCTGTCAGTACATACGATACTCTGACACATTTCAGTCATTTAAGCCCTAGCTTCCCATGAGATTTACTATATAGCAGTTCCAGCACTTGCCAAACATTTCAAAAATTTATTAGCTCACTAAATTCTCCATAAAAAAATAACCATGAGGAAGAAAAACAAAACAAAATTCCTGTATATTCTCATCAGGTTTGTAAGTTAAGTGTTTCTCAAATGAATGTAATGAGTGGCAGAGAGCAGAATGGAGAGGATTGAACTGTGAGGCTGAAAGTAGGAAGTAAGGAGGGAAAAAAAGAGGTGTGAAAGAACAAAAAATGAGGGTTATTTCCTCAGTAGAATAAGGAGTTTAGTTGGCCTGCAGAGCAGCAACAATTAGCGGCTAAGATGCCCTACAATAATTCACCTGTGAATGCCTTATGCCTAACAATCTTGAACTACTGTGCAAGTGCCAGAACTGTTTACAGGCAACTATCATGTAGTGTCATGAAAGACACAGCACTGGCAGTACAGATAAAGGATTAGAGAATGGAGATGAATTGTTAATAGTACTTAAAGATGTATTAAGCATTCTTTAGCTTCCTAATAGCCCAAACATTTTTCTTGAGTCAAAAAATGCATTTAATAAAATAAATAAACATAAGTTAATAAACTAACTCTCAAATCTGTTGCTATTATAAATTTTTCATATCAAATGTATAAGGAAAAAAGCAAATATAATGGCAGATATTGAATCAGGCATGCAGCCACAAGATACTTTTTAAAATCTTGCACTGCATTATCCTAATTCAATCTGTTTTGTGTTTAGTAATTATTCTTTATTTTCTCCTTGGGTAAAAGTGTCACAGTATGATCTGACTGACAGCTGTCATATAAATAAATCACCTTCTCAATAGTCAAGAACACTATTCCACATCCAGAAATGCTCTTGTGTGTAATCCGTAAAGCTTGTCAACGTTTGTCTCTATATTATCAGTTTTCCTGCCCCCAAGCTTATTAACTGCCTGCTAAAAAGGCTGCCCAAAATAAGTAACTAAATAATGTATTATTGCACAGATGTGATTAATATTTATTTTCCTGCAGGGAAATTGTTTGTAGTTAAATTGTCCCTAACCGCAACTGTAAACTATATCTATTTAACATCTTTGTTAAATACATGTCACCCGATGACCTGGCATTAAGGGTGGGATTCAATTCAGCTTAACTTTGAAAGTCTGAATCTCAGGTAATCATGTTCTCTCTCTCTCTCTTTTTTAATTTTTATTTTATTTTAATTTCTCCAGAATAAATATGCATTTAAAAGAATGATTCATCCCATTTAAGTTGGATATGTAGCTCCTGGGGTAAATGATCCAATGGAAGTATCTTTCCATCTCTGTTAAATCAAGTGTGACAACAAACTAAATAAGAAAATTAGACTTGACATCTAAGTTTTAGTGGTTCAAAGTGAAAAAGGATTTATCTTGCCTAAATTCTAGCACACTACTGTAGCTTGTTCACATAGACTGACCTTAAAGCCTTTTGATGCTGCAATGTGAGCAGCAGTCCAACCCTCTTTGTCAGCATGGTTGATGAGATCTGCAGAAATAACAGGTTTTCCTCTACTGCCACAGCCATCTTCTCTCTTCTCCAAATCAAAGTAGTCTGAATTAGGCTCTATATCAGGTAAAGAGTTCCCATTGTTTGGCTCTCCATAGTACATCAGGAGCTTGAGACTGTCAACATTACCAGAATCCACTGCTGCGTGAATGGGTGACCAGCCATCCTGAAGAAACAAAAACAAAAAGCACACTCCCACCAAACACATAGGAAAATGACTGCAGAACTCATATCAGCAATCAATCTGAATGAAATGCTCTGCTTGGAAACTGAAAAGATAGGCAAGAGTGACAACATAATCCTTCAGGAATATGGAGTTACTTGTATGTATTTGGGGTGCAGGAATGAGAGGGAAGGAAATGTAGCACACTAATTTTACAGTTTTCTGCAAGGATGGGGGAATAGATTGAGACTTCAAAGCATTTAAGAGGAGTGTAAGTAATAAAGTACTTGCTGTTAGAAGACTGCTTCCTTACTACATATCAAATTAACATGACTAATGATCAATAATCTGTATCATATTGCATTAATCAATTAACCAGACATTTTCATGTGTTTGACATCATAACTTTCCCTCATGTGAAAAAAATATTTTCATTTGAAACCCATCATAAATGAATCCAAAAAATCCCCTATATGCTTAGCAAAATGTACTGTGAGGCTAACACTCTTTTCTGTTTCTGGACAGCCTACACCCCACATTTATTGTCATGCTTACTTCAAAATCTTCAGGAAAAAAACAATCAGGAAACTACCTGAAAAGAGCAGTACTTAGATGTTAATTTTGAGACAGTCCTCCTCCTTTTCTGCTGCACACTTGATTTCTTTTTTTGCCATATTCTGTCATTTGTGATATGAGACTTTATAATACTGGCTAGCAAATCTGGATGGTGGGGTGTGTGTGTGTGTGTGTGCGTTGCTCAAAGACAACAATAGTAACTCATAACATAAAAGGTGGAAACAAAATCTATATCTCCACCTTTCCACCTTAAAATAATTCAAACCAGAAGAGTCCTGTTTTGCATGTCTGGTGCTGAAGAATAGTCTGTAGAACAAATTGCAGACAGAATCTGAAGTATGTAAAATAATATGGAAGTCACGTACCTCAGGAGATTTTAGTCAAAATACACAGTTTAACAAAAAAGGAAAGTAGGATGAAAAGAAAATAATACTAATTTCAAATGACATGACATATTCCAGCTTTAAAGAAAACTTTAAATAAATACTTCAATGTAAACATTGTCTAGGTGTTTGCAATTATTCAGGATTATACAATGTATTTTAACTTTACAAACTACTTTCACTTACACTGGTTTTTACTGTTCGATCTGCTCCTCTTTTCAACAAGAGCTTAATACAATCATTATTTCCATTTTTACAAGCCAGGTACAAAGGTGTCTGTCCTCTTTCAGCAGCATGGTTAATATCAGCCTGATACATAATTAATAATTCTGCACACCTACAGCAAACAATAAGTTAGTATAATTATCCCGTATTTGACATTCAAAAACTTTAAAATTTACAATATTTAAATATCAATTTCTTTTTGGGGGGGGGGGGTGGGAGGGGGTAAAATACTGATTGTATAGATACAGATCAACCTATGATTTTATTCATCACACATACATAGGTATATAATTTTATACTTATGTACAATAAAGATGTAAAATCAAGTTACTTTAAACCCATAAATCTGAAAATAAATATTTATGTCTCTAATGTTATGATTTAACATTTAATTTTACAAGGCTAATAAAAAACTTTATGACAGCTGAGCAATGAAGTAGCATTTCTTTTTTGACCACTGATCTTTAAAATAGTTTCAAGAAGAAAACAAACAAAACACAGCAACTCCCATTCCTCTTATCAAACTACTGGTCTCTTTGTTTGTTGGTTGGACTAGCTTTAGACACCAGCAAAAGAGAAGAAAACTGGAAGGGACAGCAAAAGGGGCAGGATGGTTTGGGGTGTGTTGGCAGCAGCTACTGGAGCAGGGAGGAGAGAAGACGAGGTGCAGTGCTGAGGAGCACTTGAGACTCATTAGGGGCCTGAGTATGGATCCAAGATCCTGTACTTCCTCATGACCTTGTAGCATTAAGTCCAATTCTCTTCCTGATTCTTACAACAGGGTTGTCCCCTTTTCCCCTTCCAAACCCAGCTTTTCAGCAACTCTGAAGGCTTTACAAAAATCTTAATTCTTTCCTATTCCCTCTGCAGTTAAAAACGGTTTGAACGTAAGATAACTCCTCATCTCCCTTGCTCAGTATTTATCAGTCTATAAAGATAAAAGGATAGCAACATTGAAGCCTGAAAGCAACTAACACCATGCCATATAACTAAATGTAAGGACACCATACTAGAGCAAACAGTATGACAAAATATTTTAAACAATATTTTATATATATATATATATATATGTGTATATATATATAATATTACATTTATATGAGAATGTAAGAAATTACAGAGGAAAAAACAAAAGCACTTAAAAAAACCCCTACTCTTAGTAAGGGTTTTATTTAGTCAGAAAATCAATTGTTCAAGACTTTTTTTTTTTTTTTACTCCAGTGTGAATGACCAAGCTGCACTTTCTGAAAACATTCAAATAAACTGAAAGAAAACAAAATTAATGTTCTACTTTATTATATGTTGAACATGCACTCTAACCATATCATCACAAACCAAAAAGTTGTCTTAAGCTGGGCTCATTGTAAGACACCTCCATAAAGCAACTGCAGATTGAGTTTTGAGTCTGCTGTATCAAAAATACCTATTCTGTCATTGTATTCAAGCTGTTGTACTGCACGATGATAGCAGGTTCTTAAAAATCTAGCAGTTCTGATTCTTTGACACTTCAAGGAAGACTGTCTAATTGCAGGTTCATAAATAACAGCTTCAAGAAGACTTTGCTGAATATCCTAGAGTGTTCCCTGGGGGACTGGATGACTCTGGAAATGCTACGCTCGTTTTTATATCAAGAGCAATTAAGATCAGCTTGGTTTGGACCATATGGGAAATGACTTTCAAAGTTTTACTTAAGAGCATTTTCTGAATTACCAAACAACCCCAAAGAGCTGTCATTTTCTTTTTTTTTTTTCTGAGTCCTTAACTCTGGCTGGAACAACAACATTGTCCCAGTTCACAAGTAATGTTAACTGACATGTCTGTTACAGGGGACTGGCTAGCAAATCTACCACAGACAAATAGTGTGTAATTGATAGCAGTTTATTGTCAATAACTCCAGATTCTTACTGCTGCAGAAACACAAGTACCACCAACTATGCAACAGAACACTTCAACGACAACAGACTACAACACTGCCCCAGATTTTGCCTATTACAGACTTTTGCTGAGCCAGAAATTTCAAGTGATCAACAAATAAAAACAGCTAGAAGCATTTGAAGTCTCTCTGATATTTTCATCTGGCCCTGTTATTATTCCACACTCACTTTTACAATTTGGTTCATGTTTAATATCTAAGAAAGTGAAAGGAAAAAAAGCGTTTAGGGATTTCATGCTACGTAATAACTCTAAGAGAAAAAGAATATGAAGTCTGAAATACCGTAACAGCAGACAATGCAAAGCAAAGTGTGAGGGTAAGTCATGAATAAATAGCTAAATATTGAAACAAATGAAAAAATCAAAGATATTTATTTTAGTGAGAGAAAATAAAGTGTAACTTTGGTTCATCTTATCAAATCATATACGTGTTTTACAGATTCTTTGTAAAACAATGAAACATTTTATTAGACCTGTATTTTTTGTGCTCAAAACACCTACTGGGATGTTTCTGGTTTAAAGACTTCCAGTAAAAGGTATTCCTTAGTTGATAAGCTTGAAATTCTCTAAGAAGTGGCAACAATCTCTAATGTTCCTTATACATCTGTGGAAGATCATGAAAAAGGATAGGGACAACCTAGTTGGCTCAGGGCCTATCACAGTGTAACAATGCTCAAAGACTGACTCCTATATGCTACTGTAGCTCAGAAAAACCTTTACAAATATTAAAATGTGAGACTAAAAAAAATAATCAAAAACTGAAGATAAATAAAACCAAACATACATAAAACAAATGTAAAGTCTATAATAAAGACCCCTAGTCACACTGTTTGATACAGTTACATCTTTGCATCTGTAAAATAGCTTTATTCTGGGTAAGGGTGCTCTGGAAGAGGTTATCTAATAGCTGCTTCCAACTTTCAGTTCTATTTCCTATGATTCCATGATACACAGTAAAGCTGCAAAAAGGAAACACGGGGTTAGCTTTCAGCTCCTCCACTTAAAGAAAAGGGAGGAAAAAAAATCATCTGGATGAATTGTTGTGTACTGGTTCTCTTATAAAGAGATGACAGGATTCTCAAACCACGCTGTCATAAAATACCAATCTTTCTAAAACAGGCACTTCAAAGATAAAAGCAAATTACTGTAAGTATGTTCTTAGAAATATTCTTTGACTCATACATAATTTTCTGTTTTTCAAACTTACTGATACAAAAACTTAGACATTAAAAAAACTCTTTTGGATGTTTAAAGTATTTGATTCCATCACTTATAAGAAAACTTAGATAAATGCTCTTTTGTCTCTGTATATGATAAATCACACTTCTCTATGCTTCAATAATTTAATACAAAAATAATTTTTTTCCTTATTCCTCTGTTAAGCCTGTATTTTGGCTGAGAACATGAAGAAAATTAAGAAATTCAAAGGTATGACTACCACGTAGACCAGCATCACGTTGTGGTTACTAACAGTACACATGTTCAACAACCATAAGAGCTGCAACTGGAAAAAAAAAAAAAAAAAAAAAGGAAAATAGGAAAATATTGAAAATAGAACATCATATGAATATGAATTTGAGTGGTTGTTTTCAGTAAAGTATATTTTAATGCACTTACAGCTAAGAATGCAATAGTAGTGTAAAGGGTAATGTAAGGAAAGTATGTGAAGTAATGTAAACAGAATACAAGGAGAGCAATAGCTGATGAGAAAAATATTAAGACTTCACTTACTTGACATGTCCCTGAGCAACTGCTGAACACAAGGGTGTAAAGCCATTTTTATCAGCAGCATCAACTTGTGCTTCTGCAGTCAGCAGCAATCTCACGCAATCTATAAATTGAGAATAAACATAGACTGATGCAACAAAACCAAGTGGTTAAAACTACCAGAAGATAAAGCCTGCTCAAGGAGCATCACCTTGGAGCAACAGCTGCCAGCCTTTATGACTATACGCCACACATCTTAGCAAACCGAAGTAGAAGCTCAGGAAGAAATTTGCAGGAGAGAGATGAGAGATGAGAATTGTTCCGTCGGGGCACCACTGCTCTACTGCAAAAAGGGCCTGGGTTGGACTCTACTGGGATCCAAAAACATGCCCATTAAGGGCAACTCCCGTTGTTAGTGTTAGCTAGTTTAGCTATTTCCAAAGCTGGAAATATGAATTAACCAGCAGCCCCCAATAGCAGCACATTCCCACTGGCAGCCACGTGACAAGTCCCCAAAACGACAGCCACAGTGGAAATGCTCACAAACTGCACGGAACTCAAACAGCAGGCTGGCCAACCTTCTACTAGGACACTTTGACATGGGATTGCAATGACTAATAAGATCACAAAAGCAAAAAACCCCCAAACTTTTCCTATTCAGAATGTTTCCTGAATAACATGGTTCAAATAATAGCAGCCTGATTCCACCAAGCAAAATTAAATTAAAAAAAGTAATTACACAGTAATTATACTGACTTTCATCCATATATTGGAATATCATTTAATTCAATAAAGCTTGAAGAAAATACTAAATCTCCACTATATTCTTAAAATTGTTTCTACATCAAAATAAAACAAGTCTTTTGTAGCTAAAACTACTACCTTGAAAATAAGCTCAGCTTGAACACCAGTTATAAACTCCTGGCCCAGTTTCTGAGCACGCTTAATGCATCCTGTTACAGCACTGAGTAAGATCCTGGAGCCAAGTTGTAATAGTAAAGTTCATCTCTAGACACCAGAAAAATACCTTTAGAATTATTTCGAAATCTGACTGAAACATTTCTGAATATACTCACTGCTGTTACAATTCTTTCAAATATTAACGGCAGATGTGGAATTGATTAAATAAATAATTTGAGATTAAGAAGTAAGATTCTAAACCATTGAAAATCATTATATTGCAAATTAAGATTCTTAAATGCATAATCTGATTTGAAATAGCACTTCTTTTTTAAAGTTGTTTGTCAAGATAAACTACCTAATTTAACCTGTAGTATTTTTAAGTCATGAAGAAACTCTCTGTCAACTAAACTTAACTAGTATTTCCACATGTAATACAATGCTAATTAAAGGCAAATTTTCAATCACTTTGCAGCAGGAAAAAATACTTTAACATTGACATAATTTGTACCTCTTTCCATTGTCAATCCCAGTCTTACATTAAAAAGGATTCCTGCTTGTTATCCTAAAATTCTTCTAAAGTTTTTGAAGGATATTGAATTACTTTTTTTTCTAGTAGTTTCAGGTATTTGGCAATACTCTTTGGCTTCTTCACAAAGCATACGTTAGCCATGCAAAAGCAACGAAGAACGCACAGAACAAGACCACCTTTCCAGAAAGGTACAGTTAACTCACAATTATTGATTGGCAGATCATTCAGGTAGTATCTTATCTATGTGAAAATACTGTTTCTGATGAAGATCACTGAAAAGAGCTCTTTATTCTCCAGGCCGGGTGCAAGCATGAGGAAGCATAGCTACTTTCATAAGGCATACCATGTGAGCTAGCAAGGTCTATACAACCTATTCTGGTAGCACATCACGTAAAAGAGCAATAATCTCCAAGAAGCCTGCATCCTCTAGATGGATTTTAATTGGCATTTGGATGAGAATAATTGAGGTCAATCCAGACTCATTAACTCCAGTTCACTGCCATAGAAGTAATCAGCAGTGGAGAGTACTGGGCAGAAGGGCAGGTACAAGACAGATACTGATGTCATTTATTAAAGGTGTTGGTCAAAACAAAATGTGGAAGTTCATTAGCAAACACCTGGAGACTTTGCTGCTCTCCATCAAAGTGGGACAGTCAGTTCTCCGTCAGAGTGCTGGCAAACACCATGCAGATATATCCAGTGGCTTGGCAGAGCTAACTTCACGTAGCCCTCTCTCTTTGCACCTCACCCATTCTGCTTCCCAAAGCATTCAATTTTTTTCTATCAATGATGGTGCCACAGCCTCCAAATACTCATGGTAGAGGAGAATTGACTATACAAAAAAAGCATGTGATTAGCACATAGCTGAGTCCAAAGGATATTATTATGGGATATTATTCTCTTTACATCTCTGTTTCAGAGACTCTTACTGCTTAATTCTCTCTTTCTGAGCCACTTTGTGAGTGGCAGAGAATGGTCAGGATTGCCAGCACCAGTCAAGATGCAGATGTATGGGGCTTTGGGTGACCAGATCTATGACAAGGGAGTTGGGACTGGTTGATCTTAAGTCCTCTCCAGTACAAACCATTCTATGCATCAGTCATGTGAACTGGTGTGCATGTTATCAAACACGTAGTAGATTCAAGTGGCTCCTACTTTGTTAATGGCTTAAACCAAGATAGTCTGACAAACAATCTGTTCAGCTCTCCCAGTTTAGTGGTTAAATCATAACAACAACAGTTTCCTAGTGTCCATTCAAACAGAAAGAAAGTACTTAGTGTATATTTTTAGGGTGAAGTTTTTTCTCTCAGACCCACGGAACTGAGGACAGTGTGTGCAAAGAAACAAAGAAGCTGCTATGAGCTTCATGTGCTGGGACAAAAAAACAAAAAAAAAACAAGCTGCAGCTCTCAAAGGCCAACTGTTTCTGAACAGGAAGGCTATCCTTTTTGCAAATAGATTAGAAAGAATATTTGAGTGTTCTCTTATCTTGTATAGTTGTCAATTTTCTCTATAGACTGGGCTGCAAGCACACAACAGCTGCTGCCGCAGTCTTGGTTACAGTGTGCTCTACCTTTCTTTAGATATCTACAGATCTTAAATACTATATTTCTTCACTGAAAGCATGTGGAGACCATTTGCATTCCACTCCTCCCAGGCTCTGCAATATGGTGGTTGTTTCTGAAGGGAGGTACTCACTAAACTGGCCCCTACCAAGTCTAGAGCTAGTCTTTATTTCTGGTCAAGTATATCCCAGGAGAAAGAAAAAAAATCTGATTAGTTGACTTAGAGGAAAAAAGACGTCCCAAAAATCACTGAACCTATTTAGTCACTAACTCCAGGTTGAATGTATTCCCAATCATATTATGGTGTTCTCACCCTCCAGGGTAAGCATATGTGTTAAGACTTCCACAGAAAGAAAGAAAGAAAGAAAGAAAGAAGTCAGTCAAAAGACAGTAACTTACCATTGACAATCCTACTTAACACAATGAAAAAATTTGTAAAATTTAAATGGTTTTATCCTTTTAAAAAATACATCAGTGTCATTTCTTTCCATCTTTTTAGTTAAGAAAGCTATTAACAAAGACTTTTTAAAGTATGAGATTTATCCCTATAATTCCTTTGTTACATCTGTATGTTTTAACATAACATTATTCTTAAAAGACTGCATTTTGAAGAGCTGCATCTATCCATGCACTTGGGAACAAACTGCAAGTAACAAACAGAGGATTACATATTAAAGATAATCACAAAAACCTTTCTCCAAAAATACTATAAATCTAATTATTTGCATCACTCTTAATTTTCATATATTAAGAAAACACCAGTGTTGCTGCTGTGTGATTCTTTCATTCAAGAACTCATACAGTCCACTTAGTCACTAAATGCCATTTGTAAAACAAAGTATTATTCACATCCTGTCAACTATAAATAGCAGTGCAACACTAAAACTATGGTTACATATATACATACGTTTTTTATCTTAAAAAGTAAAAGGTACCAAACAGCTACAGGATGCATATGTGTATGCTTGTTTGTATTCTTTTGTTTTCATGCTTCTCCAAGTGCCTATTATTTGAAAATTTGCTAAGAAAACAAGAAATCAAGTTGCCTTTGCTGTCAGTAAGAGCTGCTTAGTAATTGTAACTGCAGATCAGGGCATTTGCTTGAAAACATACTAGGAATACAAGATGAGAGGAGAATTGGGGCAAGCAGTCATCCACAAACACCACCAATGGACATAAATCTAGAAAAATCTACAGAACATCCATTCAGTAAGGGGAAAAATAAATCCACGCTGTATAATAAATGTGGACCCTTAATACTGTAGACAAAAAGTTGCAAGAAATACTAAGTGCCAAAGGAAGAAAATAAAATAAAGGACTTTTGCAATAGTATAAGTGTCATTGCAACAGCAAAGAATCTGTCAGATGAAAAGGCCCAGATGTTACTAGGAGGTAAACCATAGCACCTAGCAAAGAAAGACAATATGCATTCTGAACAAAGGGAAAATTCCTCTTATCCTCATGCCTGGTAGCAAAATTAACCCTGAATGTGTCAGAAGAACATATACCATTTGCCTAGCTATGGATTTTGGAACCTAGCTTTACACTCTGATTTTAAAAATACTTTAGGAAAAAAAGGAATATTTTTCTCCAAATACTATTTTAATCAGTGAATCAGGGATTATGTCACTAACAAATACATTGTTAGATAAAATAACAAAGTAGTCTTGAATGCAGTGACTTTTAAGGCACCACATTCCACCTTCTCTTGTGAAAAACTAATCCTGATTTCACTAAAAGTTAAGTGTACTCTGATTTAGAGAAAGCTGCTGTTCAAAAGCCTTTGATAATTCTGTGAAAACTGTTACTTGAACTTTGTATCTATATAATTTTAAATCATTTTATTAAAGTATCTATAAAATATGAAGACTGACAGTGTGAAGGTTCAGAGATCCTACCTCCTCAAGACTAAGGGCTGGAAAAGTGGAGAAAAGAAAAAGAAAATTGTTAACTACCTCAGAAAAATGTAGGGAATGAACTGAGGCTATTTCATCTAGTTCAAATATAAAGACAGTTCATTTTAATGATTCCCCAAGTAACACACTACTCTGAAAATATCTTCCATCATTTTCAATGCTGCTACAGAAACACTGGTGATGACATATTCTTCTTTGCTTACTGTAAGGCAAAGTTTGTTCTTTCAAGTTTTTGCCTTTGCTACAAAAAAGAAATCAAAATTGTCAAAGAACTTGGGGTGAAGATACTTGATCGCTTTTTATAGCAAGGGAGTGGAGAATTAGAATGGATGTTCATGCAGAACACAAGCAAGAATGCCTTTCTGTGTTCCCATTTTTTTCTCTGGAAGTATTGCTTATATATATATATGCTATACTATGACTCTTGTCATGTAAACCATGTATCTCAGTTTCAGTTTCATATTTTAAAAAGTGCATTTGATTAATTTAATATTAAAAGCTAATGAAGTAAGACTTTACTTCACATGAATGCTGTAACAAAACTTGGAATCACTTACCTGTATGTCCATTCGTAGCAGCAGAATACAAGGCAGAATAGCCATCTTCACAAGAGTAATTAATGTCCAGTCCTTCTTCATTAAGCAGCATTGATAATAAAGTGACATTTCCCTGGGCAGCAGCTTGGTGAAGAAGGGTGGGCCTGCCACCCAGGGGGACAGGACCACCACTTGTTAACAAAGGGGTTAGGGAGGAAGACCAGCCTGTGAGTTAAAGCAACAGAAGTTAGAAGGAAGACAAATAAATAAAGCTTTGCATTTTCTGTGCTCTTTCAAAAATTAAGAAGGATTTTCAAAATGACAGAATTCGTTAGTTTAGCACAAGTTATGTGATAATGCTTTGTCTGCAAGAACATAATCTGAAGAATAAAAACTTTGTACAGGGATGACTAGTTGTTAAAGCAAACGATTTCAACAGGTTAACGTAAAACTCATTACAAATTGTAGTAGTGGCTGGATGTCTGCCAAAATTAAAAATTTATATTAATAAAATTCAGAAAGTACTGAATGTTTTCTATGTTTTAATTGGATATATTGGGAAGGCTTTTTTTTTTTTTTTTTTTTTTAAGTATCTAAGGAAAGGTTTCCAAAACAAAATGTGTTTATGTGAAAATTTATTATCCCTTACAGTTTTAGCCCAAACCTCATTATATCTCATCCATAGTTATATAAACAAATAATGCAGACAACTCTTAATAACTTCAACTGACTTTCAATAACTTTGTGGGAAAAAATAATTTGCAGAAATAATGCAGAAATAAATACTGAGCAACATCTTAAGGTAATGACCATTTTACTCAGCAATACTTAAATGAAATATTATAAATGTTCCAGTGTGAATAAATAAAGGTTATATAAAATTCACTAGTGAAAGCTTTCCAGTTATGCAGCTCAGAGGCAGTATTCAACCCAAAGCTTTGAAAGCTCTGGAGTTATCTTGGTTAAATGTTGCATTCATTACTTTTCAGCTTTAGTAGGGAGTTTGTTAAGAATATGAAGTTTGCTGCATAAGGCATAAAAAATTTTGTGCATTCTTCCTTGATCAAGGACTGCAAGAGAAAATAGGAGAAAGATCTTTTTGTATATTACCTTTGGAAATTCCACATTCTCTGTTTCCCTTTTGAGTAAGTAAGTTTATTCGTATTGTGTAGCCACATACAAGATATTATATCAGACTGAAATCTGACAATATGAGGAAAGTTTGACTAGATTTTAATGTAGCTCTGTGACACTCAACACTGAAGAGGAGCTGCAGGACACTACCTCCAGCTCCATCAAGCTGGTTAAGTGCTAACCAACCTTCAACACCTAGAACCAGAACAGTACTGTGCTAGGATAAGCTCTACATTTTAGAAAAAGAAAATTAAATATGGAAACTCCCCCCAAAGAATTCTATGGATGTAACAGATTTGGGAACCTTGCAAGATCCAGGCAAATTTTAATTAAGTTCCAGACTTACATCAGAAACCATCAGCTGAGCAGCACTTATAAAAAGAGTATAGCTTGATCTCAGTTCAAAACAACAAAGAAATATGTGCTGAGTATTGTTATACTTGTTTCAAAAGCAAGCTGAATTTATCATTTCAAATTAAATTTACTAACTTAGTACGTAAAAGAAAATATATTTGCAGTATTTTCACAATGTTGGGGAGACTGACTCTAAGCTGTAAGCATGAAGTCTACTCTGCAAAGCTGTTTCGTAAAATGAACAGTATTGCTGGGAATCCTTCCTTATTGAAAATAGTGCAAGGTAGGTTTTTTTATTGTTGTTGTTTTAAAGTATTAAGAGAAATAGAAAGAAAAAATAATAAGGAATGTTTATTGTGCCGTATGTGCTATCTTAATTTTTGTTCCAACACCTTGAAATTACATTGTGGAAATTCAGTGATGAAATTCATTATACATAGCTATCATTGGATGAAATCTTTCTACACAGAAAGATACAGAAACTGAACAATAAGATATATGCATGTTTGGCTTCCACAAAGATCAATGTAAATGAATACAATCAGGCTGCATTTAAATAGAAAATAAATACATCAATATTAGGAAATACCAATAAATAAGGTACATCATTATCATTACAGATGCAAAAAGTTAGGAAATGTGAAGCATCTGTGAAAGCTTGTAGGACATGCAGTGATGAAGGGCAGAGGGATAGACAAAAACAGCTTCTGGCATCAGCTTCAGAATGTGGAGATGGTTAATTTCAGAGCCCAGATCAGTGCCTTACCCCCCCCCCCCCCCTTTTATATTCTAAGCCAATTGAATAGAGAGAATAATTAAAGAAATCACTATAGAAATGAGCAAAACAAAAAACATACTTCACTGAAAAGTGACATAAAAAGCGCAAAACCAAGAAGAAAGTGAAAGCAGAGATCCCAGGGGTATGAAAATCCAACTGCCTAGATTCATTTCCATTTTGAAGTCTTAGAGCCATTGAAATGTAGGAATCTAAACAGAGCAGAAGCACTTTGGCACCAGTTCAAAGGCTGCTGAAGTTAATGAAAACACTGTCGCAGATTTTGAATCAGGCCATAAATGTTCATTGTAATTTCTTTATGTGCAGTCTGTTCAACATTGATGACAAAAGCTGGTGTCTTTTCTTACCAGGACTGAAAAGAGCAACACAGTACAGTGCCCCACATTTAAAGGAAGGTATCACTGCATTCATTTAACCGAACATGTGACTGAAACTATCTGAACTCATATTTTAAGATTTCTTTTAATACTTGTTCTTTCTAGAACCAAGACATTCCCCCAGTGAAAATCACACTATTGATATGTTCTTACAGCAATCCAACCTAACTAGGACACTTGTTTTCAAAATAAGAAAAGGAATGCCTTAGTGACTAGGCTACTGTCAATTCTTCTGACTCCACAGTAAGAAGAAAGAAATGTGAAATTATTAAGAAACCAAAAAAATATGAAAGTTGAGGATTCTTTCCATTTCTTTCAATTTTAAATCTGTTTTTCACATTTTTGTAAAATATTACAAAATTCAGATTGAAGCTCACTACTTACTATACAATAAAATATGAATAAGATTTCACTATGTTCTGCCTTAACTGAAAGAAAAATTGAAATTCCAAACATTTTCTGGAAAAAAAAAAAAAGTAAATAAAGTACTTACTTTAAAGCCAACCAGAAAATTAGCAAAACTACCTGAATCTGTGGCTAGAGGGCATGGTAAAATGCAGATATGGGAAAGAGGTTTCAGTAAGATCATACTCAAAAAAAGAAACTGAAAAAAGAAACTGAAAAAAGAAAGCAAATGAGTGATATTAATTCAGGCATTACTGGCCAAATCATCTTACTTAAAACAGTGTTATTGAGTTTGGTCTAGCTTTTTTCTAAGGCAAAGTCAATTTGTTTATTAAATCTGTTTTTTTTTTTTTTTTTTTTTTTCAGCATAAAATTTCAATGGAAATGTCTTTCCATAATTGCATAATGTCTACTGCTCAAAGTTTATTTAGTTCTAGTGCAGATCACAGGAACACTTGGCCCAAATAGATAAAGTTTCCTTAAAAACAAATAAAAAATAAGAAACAGGGTTGGATTGGAGAAAAATGCAATCAAAGGAGCTCCTGAATATTCACCTGAATATTGCAAATTTACTAACATTCTTTCTGCCTTATTTTGGAGGTCAGTAGAGGAGGGATATTAAAATAACAGCTTTAATAAAAATTAACAGTAGACCACCAACTATAGTTTAAGCAATCTTTTTTTGCATACTTCTGGTTATGGGATATGTTTCCCATTTTCAGTTGTGAAAATTCACAAAAAGCAGTGCCACTTACAGAACACTAAGTGTCAAATACTCAGAACAAGGATTATGAGATTAAACGGTCTCAATTGTTTCTATCCCTTCCAATAGCAAGTGAAGAGTGAGTAAAGCCTAAATTACGAAAGGCAATCTGAACACATAAAACAGTACAATTGAAAAAACAACAGTTTTTGACAAAAATCTCATGTTTGAGAATTGCCTTTAAGAACTGTCATGAATTTCGCAAGCAAAAAAATCACTATTTGGTGAGAGTCCTATTTAAAGAATGATTGTTCTCCTAAAAACGTTCATACTTAGCACAAACTAGTACATGCAGTTATGAAGTCAAGTAAGAAAGAAATAAATCTTCTATCTTAAATATAAGTTTATTTTTTTTTTAGAGAATAATCAAAAACTGTTTTAATTGATCATCAAAGATCATCTAGTTAACGTAAAAGTAATTGAAATATACAGTCTATTTCACACTGGCAGGGTTTGTGCAAGACAGCCTCTAGCCCACAGAAACTATTAACTTTGAAGCTGATTTTCCCAATAATTAATTTTTTGTATATTAATAGAATCTTAAATTCTTTACAAAGTTATAATTTCATTATGGAGTCTAACAGCTCCTGAAGGCAAATGAGATTCAGATAATATCTGGAACACTGGAAGACTAATGAACTATCTGACACGGTAATTGGACTATCAAAAAATAAAGCTGAAAATTCAGGGCATCTATATGAAAAACAATAAACTAAGAGGCAGCCATCAAATCCCACAGCTGATGACTTCAAGATGTAGTAGACAAATGCAGGATAAGATTTTTGAGGTCATATTTCTGTGTCATACTCCAGAAAGGAGAGAAGATTCTGACAGTGTGGTGTACTAGGCAAATGTTAAAAGCATAACTGTATGAATAAGATTTCACTATGGTCTGATTTAACTGAAAGTAAATTTGAAATTCCAAACATTTTCTGAAAAAAAAAAAAGAAAAAAAAAAAGAAAAAAAAGAAAAAAAAAGATATTAAAACTTGAGAAACGTGCTGAAAGTCTTCATTGAAATGGAATGGGAATAAAAATTCCTAAATAATGCAAACCTTCGAATCTCCTGTATATACAGATACAGGTTGTCCCATGGTGCTATCAGAACAATTTCCCCAAGACTAGAGAGTTAGTCCAGCTGCCTTACCAACTTGCCAACTGCGTGGAGCAACCACCACCAAAAAGTGGTCAGCTGTGTGATGGAAGCACACCAACTGTGGGGGGCAGTTCGTACCCTATAGATGAGATAAAGATACTCAAGTTAAAAGGGACTAAAGGACCATAACTGAACTGAAAGTAACTGTATGAAGTTTCAGATCATTCAAACATTCTTCAGCGTTAACAAAGATTTTTTGTGTCCAAAGTGCTCAACTCTGCAACCATCTTCTCACCGCAGTGCAAGTGAGGGTAAAGAAAGGCTTCTACCTGATCTTTCAGTGCTATTGATCCCAGCAAGGACATACACTGAAAAGAATTTATAGGAGATCTGCAATTAACTCAAAAGGAGATCAGGGCCTTCTTTGTTCATTTAGCTGTCATCAAGAAGATATCCTGAAGCTGGCAAAAAATGAGGCTTGAAAGTCTTCACCACAATGCAAAATGAATAGCAGGTACCTGCACTGACTGCAGACTTGGACTGTTCACATAACGTTTAGATTTTAATGTTCTCCAACATCAAGCCTTTGCTGATATTAGTTGAAGTGAACCAATGAGATGTCATGTATAGCTATTAATAAAGCCTACAACTATAAATACCTACAAAAAAAAATACAGAAAAAGGAAATAAAACCTCAGTATATTTCTGTAGGTATGAAGTACTATATTTCAAACTGTGCTGTTATCCAGGCAATAATGTACCTTGAACTGCAAGTATTTAGTGCCATAGGAGAAGAATACAGCTATGCCCTATTTACTAAAAGATTCAAAAAAGCACTGAAAGTTACTGAAGCACATATTACATGGAAGATCATCAGCAGAGATAAAGTTCAAAACATTATTTCAGGCTAAGAAAGCATTTTGTAGTCCAAAATAACAATATTAATAAAAGGTAATTTGCTTAATATTTCATAATCCACTGCCCATTTGCTCTAAATGTTAGAACTATTTACCTTTAAAAAAATAGCTTCGATTTTGAGACCTCCTTGAGGAAGCAAACTAATTGAGGACATTACTAATTCATGCAAAAGAATTTCCATACCCCTGGAATGTGGAAAAAATATAAATGGAAATTTCAGTGCTTAGAAAGGAAACAAAATAAAAAGGTAAATAAAGCAAATGAGAAATTTAGAGTAAAAACAAAACATTACTTCAGAGGGAGACAGTTTGTAGCATATCAATCCCTTTACCTGATGCTGTTACCAGGAGGCTGTCTGAATCACATGGTCTACAGGATGAAGCACTAACAGGGTTTATGGAGGAGCTACAGGCAATGGTGGTGGGAATGACAAAGGAATTTTCTGAACATGCAGATTGGTTCAGTCCAGGGAAGTGGGAAGGCCAGGCACCCACCTGAGATGTGGCTATGGCTGGTATGGCACAGCCTGCAGGTGCCACAGATAAATCTATAGCAGGTTTTGGTGGCAGCTGAGGTGAGGACTTAGAAATAATTTCCTCATTTATTACCCTGATTCCTTGTGGTGAACTTGAAAGAGGTGAGGTCACGGTTTTGCTGTCAGTTTTTACACTTGTATTTGGGGATCGACTACTATCCATTAAAACCTTAAGCTGTGGGTGTGGTGGAGAAGGAGTTTGCGAAAGCCCTGGTTTTTTAGGAGGAATGGGCGGAGGATTTCCTCTGTCAATTCTTGAGACACTAGGCGTCTTTAAATTCATTCTACCGACTGGGGGGTAAGTGCCAACTTCCATTGAATGTGATGTCCCAGGCCGCGACGGAGGGCCGCTTTGAGGGCTGGTAAATCTTGAAAGGACTTGGGTGACAGTATTCCGAGCTACCTGCTTGGCAACTAGGTTGTCACGACTAGTAGGAGATACGTCCCTTGAGGGAGGGCTTTGGGTTGTGTTTCCATTTTGGTCTTGATCGTTAGCATTTGCTTGAAATCTAAACCTAGCTGCTTGGACTCGTGGATTTAGGCCTGGATGGCCAGTAGCATTGGCAGACGGTGAATGCAAACTGTGCATAGATGAAGTTACTGAGTGATTCTGAGTTGTGACAGTTGGTGTGGAAGGAGTGCAAAGGGAAGTACTATTTGGAAAGGGGGAAGTGCTACTTGGTAAATCAGGTGATGAGCCTGTACTTGGTCCATTTTCCTCAGTTCTGTTTTGACTGTGTGTAGGAACAGGAGTTGCAGGAGGGACAAGTTCATTATGTGAAGACTGCCTATCAATGACAGGTTTCACAAGTGCTGCATTGGCACACACATTCGTTTTTGTATTGCCAGACACTAGCGGGTTCACTGTGGAAGGCTTCACAGATACAGTCAAAGGCAACTTCTTAGTATTCTCAGTGCTACTGTCTGTCACTACAGGATCTGTTTGGCAGGCAATGGTTCTTGAACTCAGCTCTTCTGTTTCAACAGAAACAGAAACAAGGCTTCTATCTTTATTTTTATCTTTGTTTTTAAGAGAAAGATTAGCTTTACTGTCATTCTCCTTCTTTAATTGCTCAATCATTTTTATCATTCTATCTCTTTCTTCTCTGAGGTCACTGGTGTGTGCTTCCTCTCTATGAAGTTTGGCACGCAACTGCTCTCTCTCTGTGTCAAACTCAGACAGCTGCTTTTCCATCTGAGCCTCCATTTGTGTACTCCTTTGTTTCTCAGCTGCAAGAGACTCCTCCAATTCACTAGCCTTTTTCTTTTCCTCTTCAAATTTTGACATCACTTCTTCCAGTTTCTGGGCTTCTTCTACTATTCGTCCAGACAACTGCTTACACTCTTTCACTAGCATCAATACTACATGCTTGTTCTTGCCACGTTCTTCTTCAAGACGAGCAGATAGCTTTTTGTGCTCCAGCTCAAGATTCTGTAACTGAGATTTTTCCATTTCCAGCTGTAAGAAAGCATATAGAAAAATTCTCATTAGCAAGATGTAGACGTTCAACGTCACCTAGTATTAATGTGACATTAATATTTTAACTTTTAAGAGTATGCCTAAAATGAACCTGTCTGCCCAGGAAAGTGATTTGTGGTATCTAATGCAAGTGCCTATAAGCAAGAGAAAGAGACAGGCATCTCTGAAGAGCAATGCAGAGACTAAGTAAAACTATCTACTTTGCTCTATCAATAACACAAAGACTCCACAAATTGATTAAATCCTCATGATTTCTGAGTGAGGAGCTGCCTGTTCTTCAGAAATCAGGCAAGCACTGAAATTAGATACCTGATTCAACATGCATGTAAGACATGACAGAGTCCTCTTCTCAGTAAAGGAATTGGACACAATTAAGAAATGAGCTTTGCAGAAAAACTTCAAGCCTAGAAATGAAAGTTTAAGTTCCAGGCCTTCCTCAGACTAAAGAAAATTAATGTTGAAAAACACAGTCCATGCCCATAGCAGTTGTCTTATTTACTAACATTTATAAAAAATACATTAATTTCTGAGAGCAATTTTTTGGTATAGTCACAGACATTTTCCTGTACTTACTAACAGTAGAATGTCTTGCTGACATCAGTGATGTATAATCTATGCTGTAGGCTAGGATCTACTATTATGTGCAGAAAACAGATGAGAATAAGTTTTCCACTCATTCATACAGTCAACGCCTCTAACTCACTCATTTTGCCCACTAACTGTTTCTTTATTCAAAGACTGTCTCATAGAAAAGCACTGGAAAAATACAAGTTAACACACTGTTTTATAAAATAATTACTAATAGTAAGGCATCCTAAATTACTTTGTATTTTCCCAGGTAAACTTTTACACATGTCAAACTACAACAGAAGAAAAATTGGCTTCTTTCTTCCTACTCTGTTTACACACTGATGCAGTCATTTCCTGTATGACTCATCTGGATAATAAAACCAGACAGTGACCATCCCTTCTCCTGTGCTCTTTTTGTCAGTTATCAATTCTACTTAATACTTATGTAGAGATTTATACAGGAAGAACAATTCAGAACTGTACTGATAAAGTGCTTTTTTTTTTTTTTTTGGGTGGGAATTTTTACTAATCTGGAAAAATAGTCTCAGGTACCTAGAAAAAAATCAAATGCTCATGCAAGTTTTATTTTGACTGCAATGGGAAATTGCTTCATGCTTCTACGATGTGATATAAGAACATTTCACAGATTTAAAAAAAAAAAATCTGGTGAAAGCTGAGGCAAATATTTTAGATCCTACTTGGAATAAATGTTTCACTTCAGCAGCTGCAGAAATATAGTAAAGGTTCAGATTTTAGTATCCTGGTCAAATTGATACTGATTTCAGAGCTTAAAACGCTATAGTGTATATACATTATTGTATATAGTATAGCATATATTTACTGTAAACAGGAATGTGGGAAATGAAATGGCCTAAGAGATTGGTAATAGGAGTGGAATATCTTCTCTCTCATTCATTGCTTAAAATTCGTCTTGGTTGCTACAAGAAAAAAACACCATCAAAAAACAAACAAACAAAAAAAACAAACAACAGCCACACGCTTTACCAAGAGCTTTCCAGAAACCTGCTGCTACAGCACACTGTTCCCTCTCCATTACAACAGTAGATGAAATTTCTTAGCTCTTGAAATGTTTTCCACACCACTGTAGATATGCCTGAAATTAATTTTAAATTAAACTGCATTTAAATTACAACTAATATAAATGACATCTTAAAATAAGAGCTTTGTTACTCTCTGGTTGTACCATATAGAATTGACTCTCATGCTATCAAGAGAGAAGTTCAAGAGAGACAGACTGCAGTTGGAACAGAAATAAATCCCACTCACTGTAGCTCATTGTCCCCAAAATAAATTTTCCCCAGATGTTAAGTACAATTTAAACACAAGAAAATGATGAAAAAGGAAAGCAGGAGAAATGACAAAGAGGACATAGACAACAAATCCTGCAGGAATTAGCTCTAATGGAATGTATGCCTCCATCTACCAATACTTCTAATCATGTTACCTGAATGTATATTTCTCTTCCATTTTCTTATGACTAATGGCAAAAAGCATAAACAGGTGGTAGCAATATTTATGTGAAATATTTTAGTAATAGTAAAATTTCTTCCTGAAATCATGCCATTATAATAAACACCCATGAACTACGAGAAAGAAATCACTACGGGAAATTATATCTGCACCATAAACACCAAATTCAAATACATCAAAAACTGTTTAGCAGTGGAAGAGCTCCACTGTGGTTTTACAGCTTCATCCCAGGTTAACCAACCCAATCTGTGTAATTCAATTCACACAACCAAGTACACCTGTCTTTAAAAGCAGTAACATATATATATAATATAAAATGAAACATATAAGGTATGACTTTATCAGTCGTTGTTAAATAAATGATATCAGCAACAGTACCTATTCAGTTATGTTAATGACAGCATGGCTGCAAACTAATTTAAGAAGCTATTATGATGATACTGTATTTAGGAGTGGTCCCATTCCCAGTTCTTAAACTGAAGAAAAATCATGATTTTTTCTCAAGCATTTCATTGTTTTAAATTTCACAAGACTGTCCCTCATGGACAAACACAACTAGTTAGTAACAATGGAGCATCTGATAATTATTATTTTTATTTTTTTTGCTAAAACAGGTACAAAAATCATTGTAAATGTAAGACAATTTATCTTACTTTCAAAAAATTACAAGTAGATCTTAACATACAGCTGGGATGAAATTGGCTTTCCAAATTATTATCTTACTTGTAAGCATTGCATATAAAACAAGAATTCCCTAACATACATACATACATATATATGTTCCTGTATTCGATCTCAAATTGACAAGAGCAGCATTAGTTTCTTATTTTATCTCCTATATCTCCCCTCATCGTTTTCCTTTGTTTGTATCTGCTTGAATTAAAAAACAAGCAAACAAAATAACACATCTATGAATATTTACACTACTTTTTCCTTTAGATGACAGATTTGGAACTAGTTGCAATTATTTATGAGTTTGTGAACTAACTACAAGGTGAGTTTTTGTGAAGTGTACTATACGCATACACTAAGTCATATCAGTAACATAAACATCTGGAAATGTGCCCAAGAAGGCTCTGAAAAGGAATGCAGCAGGATACTGAGAACATTGGTAGGGACCAGTAAAGAACTGACCAGGAAAGGCCCTTTAAAAGTGAGAGACAGAGGGCACGTGGTGTGAGAAATGGTCAAGGAACCTTGCTTAGACTAGTGAAAAAAAGACTGACGGATGATCTAATAGCGGGATACTACTACTTCTTGAAGGGCTCTTACAGCAATAACAAAGCCAAATTCTTCTTGGCAATGGAAGGTAGGACCCCATAACAAAAGGGTAATGAGAAATTGCCCCTTAAGACATTCTTCACAATTATAGTAGTGCAGGAGGGCTGCGGTATTGCCACTCCTGGGTATTTTCAAGCCTCAGCTAGACAAATTCACAGATGACCAAACGTACTGCTGGTAATAATCTGTGTTAAGCACAAAGTTATACAAAATCCCGTCAAGAGGCCTCTTCCAACCATCATGTCTATCTATGAGTATGCATCCTAATACTAACTAATCTGCAAACACTTGACAGACCAAAAACTGTCATTTTGATGATCTGGCTTTGAGTTTCCAGGAAACTTCAAAATAAATTTTGTCAGCAACTCCAGGAAAGGCATTCAAAGAGATGGAAAGGGCTGGAAACTTAACACAAAGCAGATGACATCTGGGGATTAGGTGTTTGGTATAAAGTAAGCCCGTAACTGACAGTCATTTGTGCACCTCTTCATTTTTCTACATTCCTGTGCATTGTTATGACTTACTTTTTAGGATCAAATAATTATTTTATTTAAAGAATACCTTCAGGGTCACTATAGTCATAGGCAATAAGTCTTCAGTAAAAAGAGCTCCCTCAGAGCCTGTTTGAGTCCAGTGATATCTGGAGACAACAGTACCCAGAGCTGTACACAGACCTCACCACTTAGTGCAAGAGTGAGATAGTGATGCAGTTCAAAACATGAAGATAGAGGCATCACACATCTAGAGAAAGAGGAACCACTCCTAGAGGAAGTACAGCTGGCTCTGTATTTAGATCACATTTGTCTGGGCTTAACTTTTTTTTCTTACACAGGGTCACCATATTTTGTTGAACCTTTCAAGAAATCCCTCAAAATACTTTCATTAATCTCTTCTGCTGAAGGATTTCAGAGATGGAGAACAGACAGGAAAATGTGGAACTAAGGGAAGGGAAAACACTGAAAGAATAATTTATGTGGAGGTTAATGGAGATGGTTGAGAGGAAAGTCATCTGTTTCTACAAACCAAGAAGTTTAAGAGGGAGCCCTGTTGAAACAGCCTTTCAAACTGACTTAAAAAAAAATAAAAAATGCAAGTTCTGTAGAGAGTCATGTACATGAGTTTCACTCAAAATCCTTATTTGTTATAAGGAGCAAAAAAGTTAGCATATGAGTGACACACTTCCAAAACAATACTTTTAGTTATTTTTTTAAATGTAGTTCTTTAAAGCTTAGCTTAAAACTTGGACCTTCTGAAGGTCCAGCCCTCTGCTCAAGAAGACACATCCTGGGCAACTTGTTGTAGGTATGTCCAGAGTCGCCCAGGAATTCACTTTCAAAATGACATTGTTTTGTTTTAAATATGAGACTTTCTCTCTTTCTCTGTTTTTCTTTCTTTATTTATTTTTATTTTTTGGCATCATACTTGTACCGAAATAATTTTCTCTTTACACCAAATGTTCTAAATATTCAAAAAATATTTTTTAGTTCTGATTTACTTTATTACTGTTTTATGAAATAGAGACAACTAATTAGAAAAACAAATAAATAATTTATTTTATGCAGTTTAGGTTATGCAAAATAACAGTAGCTCCTCTAGGTGTCAATGAAGTTAGTTTAAAAATATATAGTGACAATGCTTTCCTTTAGCTCATGTAAACCTGTCTATTTATATAGTGCATTGACTCATAATAGTTCTACTTCATTTATTCCATAAGTAGAGCTAAATTCATGGAACTAATGATGTGCACCACAAAATATCACCAGACAACTAGCACCTCACTATATATGACAACTAAGTGGAAAAAAAAGTAACACTCGTGACGATAATCAAGTTAGACAAAGGAGCAAACTGAAAAACAAATCAGGAGAGGGAAAGGAAAAAGAAAGTTGGTAGCAGGGTACCTTCTTTTGTCTGTTTTCAGCAGCAGCCAACTGAGCTGACATTCTTTCTTGCATTTTCCTGCAGTGAGCCATAACGGCCTCTAAAATGGAGAGAGGGTTCATGCAGATTGGCTTCTTTTCTTTATCACCAGCACCTGCCTCAAAGTCTCTCTGCAGAGCCAGAAATGGGTCACTCAGATTAAACCTTCCGTATCGTTCCTGGATAAAAACCTCTTTACGCCGGGCCTAACAAAATAAAACATAAAACAATAGATAAAGAAGTAAAACTAAATGCATTCTTTGGAGTACATCTACACACAGAACAAACTTAATCCACTGGGAAAGTTATACTTACATGTGTTTTTAAAATGTTTTCTTTAAGTATTTCCAATTTCTAATAGAATTGGACAGATACATTGCATGCAGATTTCATCATAGTCAATACAATTTGCTACATAAAATCCTTCCCCGTCTCACTTTAACAGAGAAATTTCAGTTTGGAACAGTTTCAGAAATATCATAAAATAACATCTTGTAAACTGGCTGATACACAGAGTAGAAAGGGAAGAAAAACATTCTAAAACAGTTTTCTATTTCAGTGTATTAACATTATGTTAGCGAAAGCCATGAAAACACATTTCATGTGTTTACTGCAGTACCAAAATAAGAATTTTTAAAATAAAAAAGTAACAGCATCTTTACACATACAGAGACTCGCTTAAGCAACGATCACAGACAAGCAGAGAGAAAAAATACCTCCAAGGCTCTTTGAAATTAAGAACCTTCTCAAATTTCTGCTCAAGAAGAACTTCATTATCATGCATTTCTACAAGCTGTTGTTTAAAAACACAATTATATTTCCAAAATACAATACAACACTTTATTAGCAAAACAAAACTATTACACAATAAAGATCAGATGCAATTTTGCTTGATCATTTTTTGGTTCTTCAGCCCAAGATGTAAACAAGATCAGTTTCAGGGAAGGTTTTTTATATATTTAGTACACAGTACACGAAAAGGCCACATATTAGTACTGACTTCTACAGCTTTTATAGAAAATATTGTTCCAAAATCTCAGGCTTAAGTCTCATCTGATTTGTGAAACAAACAAACAAACAACAGAACTATTGAAAGATTTCTGAAGATGTTGTTGTGGTGTTTTTGTGCCTGCATATATCACAGGAAGTATAAGGAAGCGAGCCAAACCACTGAAGTGCAAACTTTGGAGGAAAGTGAAGTTTTTTTACCTTAAAACTAAGCCAACCACCAGAGCAACTCCTTCAAGTATGCCTCAAAAATCAGAACAAAAACCACAGTGCAGAGAAATACTATCAGAAAAAGGAATCCCTCAGAAATAAGGGCTGAGTTATTTATGTGTGCTTTGTTTCAACTCAGGAAGCTCAGTTTTCAGGAACAAGCAAAACCAGATGAAGAATAAGCAAATTTTGAGGTGTAAAAGCAGAGGAACAGGTTAACCAAATGGGTTAGCAGACCATCCCAAAAGCTTGATGTTAAAATTGTAACATATGAAAAGGTCATAAAAGGTGACACATATTCAGGGCATGGGAAACCAAAGAAGAATGTAAGAACCATGTGAGAAAAATTCTCCAGAGACAAACTACAAATAACATACCTTAGCGAATGCCCAACTTTTGCCTATATATAGAGCAAAAAACTGAGATGTTGCAGGAAATTAAAAGGTAAAAGAGAATTTAACTGCAGCAGATGCAAGTGAGCATTCTGATACTTATTCTGATGCTTGAAATATTTTAAGTCTATTTTCTAATTTGATAGCATAAATTGAAGCTGAAAATATTAAAAAAGAAACAAACAAACAAAAAAGCACAACTCAGAAAAGCTCGCAGAGCTCATTCAGACAGAAAGTCTAGCTAGGATTGCAAAGCCAGGTACGGATTGGTTGAAAAAAACAAAAATAAGCCCACAAAACCAAGGTTTTGTTTTTAATATATATATTTATAAATTGCTTTGCAAATAACCCCTAATTAGCCTAAGATTTCAAAGCTCTAATTTGTATCTTATATTTTAAAATAGTTAGTTGGGAGGGGCTATATTTGCAGCTCCTGGCTTTATACCCGGGATTGTATGGGATTACGTAGCCTAGGAATTCAACCTTCACGTAAAGGAAACAATCAAAACCAAAAACCTGACTCTAAATGGATTCAAGTGCTAAGTAGGCAAACAAGATGACGAACCCAAGCAGGTTAAGAATTTAAATGGAGATGAAGACACCATCCATACATAAATCATCGGCAGTGTAAAAGCCATTCTGCTTATATAGAGAGAGACATCAAAGTAAAGGAAGTGACAGTGAGGTAGCAGCTCAGCTGTAAATAAAAAAGGCCACCAGAGCTTCCAGCCTAAAACCCAGAGATGGATGTTCAGGCTCCAATAGCCGAAGGGGAACCTGAATAAAATCCTGCTGGGCCCGCCACAGGGCCATCTCCACAGCTCAGAGGAGCACTGGGGCACACAGTGGCAGGGGAGAACCTGAACCGAGGACCTGGGCCTGGGCTGTCCCAGCAAAGCCATGAGCCTGGAATTGTCCAGGTGTGAAACTCATTGCTTTGAGTCTGTAGGAGCTCCTCTGCGGGTTGCTGCCTACGGTTGGGACATACTACGGGATGTAAGGAATAGCAGTTTGGGATCACACAGGACTTAGAGTGAAATGCTTAGAGAAGAAACCAGGGCAAGGGAGAGGTTTGGGTGACTTTGGGATGTAAAAGAGTAGGAAGACAGAGTAGTAAATGGACAAAAAAGGGCGGTCACATCTAACTAGTTTGCTGGTCAGTACCTGGCCATGCCCTGTGCCTGATCGCCACAGTCCAGCTCATCAGCTGCTTTCCTAACCCTGTCCTGGGTGAGGGCTCCCTATTCTGTGTGCGCACGCGCATGGGGTGTGAGTGCAGCAGCTGGGGTCTGACCATGGGGCTGAGGACCCATGTCTCCATGGTGCCAGTGACTGAAGCTCAGCTGGGTGTGTGAGTGAGTGTGTGATCAGCAGCAGAAGTGAAGCCAGCCCAGCCCACATGTGGGTGAAGCAGCCTGGGAGCAAGGGTGTGAGTGAGGCTCCAAGGGCTGAGTGGGGATTCAAGGGCCAGCTCTGGTGTGAGAGCACCTGTGTATCAGGGGTGAGCACGAGAGGTTGGCTATGGGGCCAGGGACATTGTTTCCAGCTGTGTGTGCGTCTGTGCAAAGCTCTGTGTCAGCAGCTAGCATGGGGAGGTCCTGCTGATACCAGTGTCTGGGAGACTGGGAAGCATGGGCAGCTACTGGGCACACTGAGCAGGGGTACCCACCTTGTATGTGTATAGGTGGGTATATATGATTACAGGTATATTCACACACCTATGCATACACACGTGAACACACACACAGATTTCTCACTAGTGGATTCCAGCTTGTCCAGACAGAGACAGGAGCAGGGTGAGGCCATGAGTGCTCCCTCTGTTTATGTGTTTGTCTGTGATCACATACAAATTTCACATATTTAAGTGTGTGTGCTGGGTATACCCATCTTCTGCCTTGCTAGTGGTTGGACCTGGGGATACAGAACCGTAGAGCAGTAGCGGCCTTGCCCCTCTTAGGCTGTTGGATCCAGCATGATTTATTTTTCTCCCTTACTGTCACACAAGTTTCAGTACAGTGCTTAGTAGAAATCATATAATAAACAAAACAAATCCTGAGAATCATTAAGAGAAAATTAAAGAACAAAAGAGCAGCCATCGTGTTGCCAATGTATAATTAATGTTTTGTCTGTATCTTGAATATTGCATGCAATTGTCCCACTCAACACACAGGGGGTGTTGTGGCAGGACCAAAGAAGGACAAGAAAGACAATCAAAAGTTTGGAACAGCTGCCATCATCCTGGCTAGAGCAGTTCTGCTTAGAAAATGGTGGAGAAGATTTCAGTATCTACCTTAACCATACAGTTATGAATGCAACAGTTAAGTAAGGGGTTACAGTTTAATTACCTAATTTAAGGATTGGGGGGCATCCAGTAACTCCATAGAATATTTGGCTAGATGGAGCTTAGATCTGAAGCTGTTTGGCTGTTATGGTATTGTACATAGCTCATGTAAAAACAAATAACTGGAACAGAAAGGTGGGAACACCATTTTGACTATAGCGAATGCTTGGTAGATACAGCAACATCAATTAACATTTGTCTGTATTCTCAGTTTTTATCATTCTATCTTAGAAGGCACAGCACTGGTCCTAAAGGAAGACCCAGGTAGTAAAAGACACTAGTGGCCTCTGGCTACCTGCTCGTTACCCAGGATGACTTTGATGAGAGCTGAATGTTAGTATCAATGCTCGTGTTCCCAACTAGTCTCAAACACATCATCAGAGTGAATAGAGCTGAAATAGTCTCCATCATCTCCTCCTCTTGTCTGAACAGGTGGCAACAGCCATCAGGCACGTCTAAAGCCCTTCGTTACGCATGAGGTTCAGTTCTCTGTTCAGCTGAAACTGACTACTTATTGGGTATTTCTGGAATTCGTCGTGCCACAGAAAAATAAAAATAGAAAGTAGTTTAAATATAGACACTTTGAATAAAAGAACATACTAAAAAAAAAAACACTGAAAAGAAAAACACTGAATGAAGAATGTCAAAACAGTAATTGAGGCTGCCAAGACACTATAACAAGTGTACGAAAGCACCAGAGGCTTTCGCAGGCATTTTACCATTTCCACAACGGGAACTGCAAAACAGTCAATGAGTATTCTGCACTGAGGAGAGCTGCAAAAATATTCTTAGTGCGTTTTCTGCTTTTCAGAAAATATATATTCAATTACCTTTAGGTCCTAAGAGAAGAGGTTAAGAAATTAAACATAGTCTGATAGGAAAATGAAAAGGTCTGTTAACCTTAACATGAACATTTTTCTCGGATCATCCACTTTCCTTTCCTGCTAACTGCCCTGTTAATTGAAACAATTTTAACAGTTGCAAAAACATATCTTTTTGTATAACACATCATAATATTGATGAAGCTTCTAGTTGTTGTTGTTTTGTTTTTGACAGAAGTTAATACAAAATCTTGTAATTCATGCTGTTTTCACTTCTGAGTCGTGCTAACCCTCGCTTTCAATACATTCTACTGACAGTGCAAATAGCAAGGAACAGCAGAAGGTCACATTGAGTGATTATCACGGTTAGATTTAAGCAGATGAATATTAAGTGTTTAATATAATAAATCACTTCCTCATCAAAATATTGTATA